TTTTATAACAAGCTTTACCGATATTTACGTGCAATAGAGACATTGTGAAAACACAAAAAGTCATAATTGTGACAAAAAAGTCCAAATTATGACATGTAAAGAGAATTTTGATTTTTCAATGACTATTATTTCATAATTACGAGATAAAAAGTCAGAACTATGATAGTCATACCCTAATTATACAAATAAATACGACATTTTATGTAATATTTTTAACTTTTTATGTCATGATTATGACATTTTATGTCATTTTTCTCGTAATTATGACAAAAGTTACAATTATGACGTGTATTTAATAATGAAATTAATAACTTAATTATTAAATTTGTCATATTTTTAACTTTGGCAATTATGACATTTTCGATTTTTCGATTATGATTTAGTGTGTGATCATTTCGACGTTATCTCATAATTTCAACTTTTTATCTCGTAATTAGGACAATTTGTCATATTTTCAAAAAGAAATTACATAATTATGACTTTGTAAACCTTAGTATGACATCAGTTCGACATTTTATCAGTTCATATCCTTTTTAATCATAATTATGTCATAATTAAGATTTACTGAAGCATGTTTTCTTATGTTGCTCTGATTTAAGCAGAACATTTGATGACTGAAAGAGACTGAATTCTCCATGACAACAAATATTTGACTTTCATTGAAAATAATATTGAGTAATACTGAGGGTGTGTGTTAGTGCAGCAGGTTTAAGGTGTGTGTGTGTTTACCTGTCTCTCGGTGGGCGGGGTCACGGCCAGATTCAGGTGCGTGGCCATTTTCTCTTCTTCAGTTTTTCTGAATCAGTGACCAGACTCAAACTCACTGTCAGCTGCTGCTGAAACACTGAAATCATGAAATCATGAAATCACGCTGATGTGAATCACTGAGGATCAACTCACTATCATTACAGTCATGAAGAAAGGATCGTTTAATTTCCTGGGCAAGAAGGATCAATCTTTATTCGGCACCAATGTGGAGTTCAAGGAGATGGGTAAGAGAGATAATCACACTGATAAAAATGTACAGTCTTATAGATCCGATATCAGGTTAAAGTGCTCTTCACGCGACCTTTGCACCTGTCATGGAGCGCGCCGCGCGCACGCGCGTGCACGTCAGGGTTCTGCGCGATCGATCATAACACTTTTTAAAGACACGGAAAACATTTATTTTAAACAACTCTGGGTGAGTACGTGTTTTTAAAAAACGTAGTTAGTAGTAAACACACTGACAGAATAACCACAATCAAATATTCAGGTTTCTTTTGGAAGTTTGTGACGTGTCCGATTACAGTAGAACGAACTGTTTTGTTGTTGTTTACAAATATGCCATATATATACACTACCATGTTACACACCACAGTACCACCATGTTTTGGTTATATGGCATAGTATTACCATGTTACAATGTTTTGGTCATATTCAGAGTACTACCATTAGTATATAGTAGTACAATGGTAATATGTTTTTACTTACAAAAATAGTAGTACCATTGTAATTTGGTAGTTTATGGAGCATCTTGTGAAAACCATAGCAGCACATGAATTTTAGTACCAATGTTATATTTCAACTTACCATAGTATTACTATCTTCTTATTTTGTAACTAATATATGGAACACGCCTTAGATTATTTTTATTTTAATTCACAAACTAAGACATGCATTTTTATATAGACTACGATATATAAAATGGCACATTTTTTGCGGAACATGTTAGTTTCAAAGATGAGGATAAGATTAAAATAAAAACACTTGACCTTGTAATGGCCTTTTTGCAATGATTGACATCAGGTCAGGAATCTCTGGTAATTGCATCATTATCACTTTTAAAGTCGTTTAGGAACAAACACAGACAACCGAAAATAGTTTACGAGACCTAAAAATGAACACAATAACTTTATATAAGAACCTCGTACATTTAGCAGTGTTTGTTTTGATTTACAACAATGAGGAGAAAGTGTTATTCTTGGCTTTTCAAGAATGCGTGAAATGCGACCTTTGACTTGCCATTAAAGTCCCCGTGAAATCAAAATTGAACCTATTTACTTTGTTAGCGCATATTACTAGTCTTGTGGTGAACAATTAATCCGTGCAAGTGAATATATATTAAAAATATGTTTTACCTTAGTAATCTTTAATCAAAATCTGAAAAGTTACTTCCGGTCTGGAACGGTTTCTTTTTCTGATGACGTAGGTTTCACAGTTTGGGTGGGGAAACGCTTAACCACTCCCCTCAAACCGTTAGTTTGCTATGAGCGAGAGATGGAGAGGAGGAGCGCTAGAGTAAAACCCTGCCCTCTGTTCAATATTCCGTTTCACTTGGAAATACGTCACAGCACTGGAGAAAAATCGTTTGCAACTTCCGGTTCACGGGGACTTTAAAGCCATGCACATTAACTACTTGTTCTGCTATTTTGGTGGTCACATGGTCTTCGGCAGTGGCTTTGAACCACGCAGGCTGCTAGTTAAACCATGTTAACCAGGTAAATAACATGTCTTTGGTTTTTTTAGATAACGTGGAGCTGGTGTTGGACTCGTCCGCTATCCCGGAGTCTGGAACCGCCAAAGTGCGCTCGCGTCCGACCGTCAAACACTTCACGGTACGTCCCAAAAACACGCCGATCACGTGATCATTCTCTATCCTGGCTGTAAAGCATCAATGAATAGACAGAAATAGACAGTCTTAGCATATTTCTTGGGCATGTACTATGGTAACACCTTCAATGTACTTGGTACATATACAATACAATGTTTTACTAGAGCAAATGTCCAAAAACTGTCTAAAACTATGGTAACTATGGTGCATGTCCAACAGACTGGGTAAAACTATGGTAACTGTTCAAAAACAGGCTAAAATACATTTTAAACTTTTGTAAATGATCTCGGTACCATAGTACTGCCACAGTACTTTTCCTTTTTAGCTATTTTTTAGAGTTGGGATCTCTCACAAAATTGTATTACCATAATTTCTTTGATGTTATTATACAATGGACTCCAATGTACTTGGTAAATGTCCAAAAAAACGGCTAAAACATTGGTGCATATCCAAATAAACTGTGTAAAATGATTGTCCATGTCCAAATCTATGGACATGTCCAAAAACACAGGGTAAAGCCATGGTACATCACTGTACCCTAGTTCAACGGTAAGCAAATTTGTAGTTTTGGGGTCACTTGCTAAATAGTATTATTGATAGTACTATGTTTTTTGGGAATTTACCATGGTAATGCAGATTTTTGCACATCATATCATGGATTTTCATGCTTTTCTAAACGTACAATTGTAGTGGCATTCTTTCAAAATGGTTTTTAAGCACCGTGCAAATTCTGTGGTCTATGCAAATGGTAATCAAATACACTGTGGGTATACACCAATTACTGACACAATCTGAACGTGTTTTGGTACATCACTGCTGTAGTCTTTTTGTGTTTAATGCTATTTGAATAAGAGAAATGTGCTGAAATCGTCATGTACACACCTTTAGCTTGAGGACAAACACACCCTTCAGCATATAAACACTCTCTCTCTCTGACAGAAAGTTGTGTGTTTGTATCACCCTGGTGATGGTGACCGACCACATTTAGATTATGTCAGTAATTGTTCACCTGAGCGTGTTCGGACTCGAGCTCGTTCACGTTTTTAGATCAGGATCCTGATGATTCAGCTGTTCCGACGCTCTCCTGCCAGGTTCTTGTGCCCATGCAGGTTTCTAGTTTTCCGTGCTGTTTTGAATACACATTGTGTTTGTGTTCAGCAGAGATCTGGCAGACGTACACACACAAGCTTCAGTAATTAGGAAGGCTCATACCTTCTGAACAAATCTCAAAAGTTCAGTCATGCATCGTCCTGCATTTTTCATGCAAGTTGCATTGGATGATTGATTTAAGGCCTTCGTCATTTTAGATTCTTTTGGTTTGGGTTTTTTGTTTCTGTGATTCTCCCATAAAGGCAGCAAAACCTAAACCACAAACATGCACGTTGTAGGGGTGTGTCCCTTATTGTCAATCAACTGAAAGGACAAGAAGGATTGTGCAAGAAAGATTATTAAGATATTTTTGAATTACATTTTTGGATGCAGACCAGGTTCCATTTTATACAGAAAGCACATTGAGTGAACATCCCCTGAACATTCCCATAATGTTTTCAAAACAATCATTCACATTATGGGGTGTTGATGAGGAGTGTCCAAGAACGGTCACCTGATTTACTGAAACATATCTGGAACATTCTCTCACTCGGGATGGGTTCTGAAGTTTCTCAACTGTTTATACATGAGAAAGAAAGTCCTTGAACGTCATAAGCTCTCTGAATAGTTTATAGGAAACTGGTTGGTTTAGTGCCTAGAAATTCAAACTGTGACTCAGTGGCTCCTACAATGAAAGGTGTGTTACTCCTGCACAGTCTCCTTCAGTCAGAATGTTGCTGACAAATGTTATGTTTCTTTAAATCCCAGTCCTCTGAGGGTGTGCAAGGCTTTGCAGTTCCAACTCCCAAGGTACCAATGCTTCCACCCTTCCATGAACCCAAGATAAACGGTGCAGGTGAGATCACAAAACTCAAGAAACATGATGATCAGGAATAGATGACTTCTTGGATAACAGTGTTCTTTTATCAGGGAACACTTAGCACACAACATTCTTGAGGTTTTTATTGAACTAATGAACTTGTCTTTTTGTAGGAAGTACCACAAATTTCCCGAAAGCAAGAATGCTTTCTGTTCCTGACATAATCGAGGGAGAAATACTTATACCTCCTCCACCCAGCGCCGCTCCTCCACCCCCGCCACCCTCTTCAGCCCCACGTCCTCCAACTTTCATCCCTGTCCCACCCCAGTACTTTGGTGAAATGGATCCTTCTGTAAAATATGCAAGTCTGCAACCCCCTCCAATGGCACCCCCAAAACCTCCATCACTTGCCGGGTCCGTGTACAGTTCAGATTTGGACATTGCCTCCCTCAAACCTCCTCCAATGGCTCCTCCTAAAAATCCATCTGAAACGTCCAGCATCAGAGGTTCCCTCTCCAGCCTGGAGCTCCAAGATATCCCAGACTGCCCTAAATTCACCCCACCGCCACCCCCTGGTGGGAAAGCGCAACCTGTTCTTGATAAATCTCCGAAGGCGGCGCCTCTAAAACCCGTCCGAATGTCCTCCATATCTAATCTGGATATTCAGTCCCAAATCCCAACGGCACCAGTTGCTTCTAACCCAACACCATCTAGCTTCAACCCCCAGAACACAGCCAAACTCTACGACGTACAGAAGAGCACATTCCTTCTCGGACAGTCGGACAAGGAAAAGGTCCAGTCCATTTTACTGCTGGAAGATTCTTCTGCAAACTCAGTTGTTGTTGTCAATGGGAATAGCGGGAAAAATGGCGGATCTCTCCAACCAGTCCAATCAGTTGTGCCGCCAACTAAACCAGCCCGTCGTAACAGCTCTGCCGCTCTGCTACAGAATGACCAGCCAGACGCGATAAAAGCGCCAAGTCAACCAGCCAAGGTTGAGGTCAAAGTAAATCCTGAGCCTGTCATGGTACAAAACATCCGGACTGAGGTTCCAACACCCATCCAAGTCTCACCACGAATAGAGAAGAAAATGCCTGATGTTAGGCAGGTGATGGAGTCCCCTGGCAGGTCTCGCAGGAACAGCCCGGTCGTGAACCACCGACAGCTCAACACACAGAGAGTAGATGGCACAGTAAAGAAAGAGACATCCACCTCACCGTTCGCCCTGCTATTGGCTGCAAAGGAAAGAGATAAGCAGAGAGCAGCTCTATCCCAGCAGAACAGCAACCCCACAGAGCAGAGCAATTCTGTGATCCAACCTAGTGCTGAAAAACCAAACTCCTTCACTGTCACTCCTCGAGACCCAACACCAGACAGTCCCAATGCACAATTAAAGACCACCACAAACGTGCAACCACTCACCAAAGCAGAGGTTACAAAAGCGTCCCACTCAAAGCCGGAGCTAAGCTCAACTCCACAACAAAGCAGCCCAATGAACAGCTCCGTTGGTGGTCTGAGTGTTCCTGTTAGAGATGTGGAAAGCGGAGAAGACTTGAACTTCATTCCACCACCTCCAGAATTTGCCAACTCCGACATTGAGGATGAACCTTCGGTTCCCCCGGCAAGTCACCTTCTTCCTGCTCCTCAACCTTCTAAGACCTTACCTTCTACCCCTACTCCGATCTTTAACTGCCCCCCACCTAGTCACCCCGCTCCTGCTCCCCCTGTGAAAACTGCCCCTCAACCTTCTAAAACTTTACCTGCTACACCTGCGCCAATCTTTAATTGCCCCCCACCAAGTCACCCCGCTCCTGCTGCCCCTGTGAAAACTGCCTCTCAACCTTCTAAAACCTTTTCTCCTCCAATCATTAATTGTCCCCCACCAAGTCACCCCGCTCCTGCTCCCCCTGTGAAAAATGCCTCTCAACCTTCCAAAACCTTACCTTCTATCCCTACTCCAATCATTAATTGCCCCCCACCTAGTCACCCCGCTCCTGCTCCCCCTGTGAAAACTGCCCCTCAACCTTCTAAAACTTTACCTGCTACACCTGCTCCGATCATTAACTGCCCCCCGCCAAGTCACCCCGCTCCTGCTTCCCCTGTTAAATCTGCTCCTACACCCTACTTACCTACTCAAATCCCCAATGGCGCCTTACCAAGTCACTCTGCTCCTCCTACTCCACCTACCAAACCCTCCCCACCTGCTACACCTCCTCCTGTAACCAATGGCCCCCGTGTTTCCCCCAAACCTAAGCCTCCCACCTACCCTCCTAAAGCCCCAGGCCCTCCACCAAACTTCCAGCTCCAATCCAAACCAGTTCAAACTAAAGCCACGCAACCTCCTGCACAGGGACCTCCGTCCGTCTCCGCTAGCCAGGCAACACTTCTCAGTATCTTGCAGAAGAAGATGTTGGAGATGGACCCCAAGTTCTCAGCTGCCAAGGAGGTGGAGTCTAACGGAGATGACTGGAACTCTCCGCTGTCTGATGACGAGACCCCATCCTATCCTTCGAAAACCCGAAGTGCTACCCTGCCAGTGCAATCTCATGGGCTGGACCTGAAGGAGCTGGAAAGCAAAGCCGCCAAAAAAGTTCTAGCCACTTCTGCTAAATCCCAGAACAGGTAAACTGAACAAGCTAAAGTCAAAGTTGCATCCCATTCTGTAATGACATATTTTTCAAGTGAAACAACACCTTAAAGTGTCATGAATCATTAAAAATCTAACCCTCAATCTAATCCTCATGTTCATACAACCGCATCATGTTCTTATTTGCACATATATTTAATTTGAAGAAGACATGTGTGCATACTCTGGTTCATGTTTAACGCACTCGAGTATATTAAATATGTCCATGAAAAGTTGAAACGCGCTTGCTCTGGTCCAGATATGAACCATCTATGTTACGAGCGTTGTTGACCTCGTTGCGGCTCTTCCGTGGTGCGGCATGTTGTTCGAGTTCTCCGCTGTGATGCGATCTCATGCATAATACAGCGCACTGATTGGATTGAACAAGCACGAATAAATGCAGAGATTAGCTCGAGGGTCAGCTGATGTAGAATCAGCCAATCGCACGCTCTGAAAGCACGATTCTACATCACACTCCCTGGCGTTGCCTCGACTTTTCTTTTCAACCCGAAAGAACGAAATTGCTCAGAATAACACAAAAATAACCAATTTCCACTTATTGATATCATTTATGAGTGCTTTTAGTGTGTTCAGTGATGTGCAGCCTGTACATCTCAATGTGTTTTGGGGTTTCATGACCCTTTAAAGGGTTAGTTTACCCCAAAATGAAAATTCTGTCAGTATTTACTCACCCTCATGTTGTTCCAACCCCGTAAGACCTTCGTTCATCTTCGGAACACAAATTAAGATATTTAAGATATTAAGATCGCTCCTGCATACTAGTCCATAGGCTTCTTCAGGGAATGACTCTTGCCGGCATCGAAAAGTCATTAAAGACATCGTTAAAATAGTCCAAGTGACTACAGCGGCTCAATCTTAACTTTATCAAACGACAAGAATACTTTTTGTGCGCAAAAAAACAACAAAAATAACGACTTTATTTCAACTATTCACTTCCTTCTCCATGGGCCTGTAGTCAGTTAACGTAGTGTGATTGCGTAGCTACGTCACACGTAGGCTCACTATTGGCCGACGCTGGTCATGTGTGTGATGCGTGTGACGTACAATAACAGAAGCTTACGCTATTAAACTAGTAACCTGACTCGCGCAGAGGGAGAAATAAACGAATAGTTGAAATAAAGTAGTTATTTTTGTTGTTTTTTTGCGCACAAAAGTGTTCTCGTCGTTTGATAAAGTTAAGATTGAGCCACTGTAGTCACTTGGACTATTTTAACGATGTCTTTAATGACTTTTCGAGGCCAGCAAGTGTCATTCCCTCAAGAAGCCTATGGACTAGTATGCAGGAGCGATCTTAATATCTTAATATCCCCGAAGGTCTTACGGGGTTGGAACAACATGAGGGTGAGTAAATACTGACAGAATTTTCATTTTTGGGTGAACTAACCCTTTAAGAGAGGGAAATACGTCAGGTGGGAAAGATTGGCGGTGTTTGAAGAATAAGAGGGATAATTATGCCCTTTTCCACTGCAGTGTAATACGAGATAAAGGCTTAAATAATAAACTCACAATGTGAGGATTAAAGTCACAATTGGTAAAAATTAAGTTGCATTGACAAGAAATAAAGTGTCAGTTACCTGTTTTACTCCGAGGCGGAAACAGTCTTCCACAGGAGATTTCTGTCAGATTATTGTACAGAAAGATGACTCAATGCATTTCTCTGGAATAACACGAACAAAGGTTCACACCTTCCTGATAGCATAGCTGAGATGTTTATTTGATGTGTGTATTCACCTGGAAGGCAAATAGACTCCTAAAATATTCTCTCTGATACTAGCGCAACATTCAACAGCTGTTTCAATGACATTTTTTAATGCTTAACATACTTACTGGCTGTTCTCAATCCGGCTGATCGCCACAAATCTTCTGTAATATTGAGAAATCACTGGTCAAAGTAGAATCAACCACATTGGTGTGTAATGTAGTCCCTCCAGTGGGAGTTCATCTCTATATCAGTGTCTGTGTTTCTGAAACGCCTCCATTGAATCGTTGAGTTTCTTCCCGGAACGAACACGTCCCGATATTCCTCATTTGAATAATTAATGCGCAGAATAAAGGGGCGGGGCCTGGTCGAGTTAGTTAGTAGTGTGTTAAACTGGCGGTTATGGAAAGGGGCGGGACATTTCCCAAACACACTCAAAGCGCTCGACCAATCACATGACACTGCTCCAGCCGACCAATCAGAGCACAGTGTGCTTTTCAGAAGGAGGGGCTTCATAGAGACAGGAAGTAAACAGAGCGTTACTGACAGACTGGAAAGAGAGGAGCCGCAACAATGTTCAAGCAGGAAAACCTGTTCTAGTCGAGCCTGAACACAGACTTCGGTCCTATTATTATTATAATAAGTTTTCATAAGATGTTACCTGAAGAATAACGGCACTTTTCTTTGTCCTTCAGTCCCGGATCATCAAGCAAACAGCAGCACGGCATGACATTCACCGTGAGGCCAGGAACCAAACAGCCCATCACACCGGTGAGCAGAGACGGCTCGCCCTGATCCGGGGATGAGGCCGGTCGGGACCTGCGCTGAAACGCTGAGAGCGACAGAAGCTCGACCACTGTAGCTGAAGTATTACTGTAACCGTCTACGGTTCGAAACAAGCTCTGCCTGTGTATGAACAGCACAAACTCACAATACGTGACATTCTTAATGTCAGAACGTTTAATTTAAGTCACTCAAATCACGTTTAATCCATTTCCTCATCGGTTCGTTGGACGTTTCTTTTCATGTCAAAAAACGTCTTTAATCATTAACGTACAAACTCTACAGCTCTCGATCCCAGAGCAGCTTCCAGTGGTGCTGGACTATTTCTCCAGGTCAAAACGATGTATTTTATGAACTGAAGTATAAAATAAGAATGCCTTTAAAATGTAGATGTAAATGCTATAGATACCGATGGCTGCTGTTGCTGCTTTGTATGGTTATTATTTCGAATCTGAAGCAAGAATCAAAAACATAATGAAGCAACCTTCGCTTGTGTGTTTGAATATACTCGTGTGTGTAAATAAGAAATATTTTGGGGAAATCTCACTTTAAATTGTGTGATATAGGTCAATAATTGTGCTTTATTGATCTATGGAACTATTTCTACGATTTGTGAGACTGTTATTTTGTACATTTAACACTTTGTTACGCCTGAAGGGAACAATATAACCGCAATATTCTGTAATAAAAAACATGCCAGAGCAAAATTGGACAGATGACAGAAACTTTATTGAACAGTGACACTTTTCTTCTATCTAGATCTGATCTGAAGGAATGAAACGTTTGTTTGCTCAAATATGAGATGAAAACAGCATAATCAAAACAATCTGCATAATTTCTGTTAATAAAAAATACATGTTTCCTGCAACTCATGAGTGGTCAGGGATGGCTGCATCTATGTTTCCCATGATGCTCTAGGGCGCCGGTGTGTGCGGGCTCACGCTGTGGTGCAGCACCTGATGGTCCCAGCCCACGCTGGTCAACACACCCGCGCCGCCCGGCACCCAACACACACCGCGCACGAAGTCCTGGTGCCGCCGGTCCCTGTAACTGAACACACACCGTAAACACACTGGATGCACAACGCTTCAAACACACTTATATGGATTTAACATGGAGATCAGGTGAACAATGATATTCTTTGAAATACCATCAAGTATATGAATATGGGTGAACATTTTAATGGTTTAAAATACATTCATTCAATAATATTACATTTACTATTGTAGTATGTATATATGTACACACACAAATGTAAATTAAAATCTAAGTAAAAATACAAAATAAATATAAATATGCAAATTTAAATTATTGTTATATTGTTCAATATTTTATTGTGTAAATACATGTACTAAAATTATATATATATACACATAAAATATATATTTTTTATATTTAATATGTAATATATATGTATTTATTGTATATATAATATTTTAGTAATATAATACAAATCAATTTAAATTAATATGTAAATTTGTATTATCTAACTGTATAATATATGGAATATAAACAATGATTAAAATCAAAGTACAATACTAAAATAAATATGTAAATTTAAATTGTATATTATTTTCTTACAACTTAAAATCAATATTTAAATTTATATATATATATATATGAATAAAATATAGTTTTATATTTAATATGTAATATACATGTATTTATACTGTATGTATAATAATATTTAAGTAATGTGATATCAATTTATATTAATATGTACATGTTTTCATTATCTAACTGCATATACAAACAAGATTATTAAATTAATTTCATATTAAATATTTTTTTACAACATTCAATCATTTATCAACTTTTATACGCAAATGAATATATTTAATCATATTTGCATCGCCCTGTTAAAACACCACATGTTGACCAAAGTGCTCTGCATCATTTGCCAAAATAACAAGAAAAAAAAAACACAGTCAGTCAAATGTTTCAAAGCTATTTGAAATATGCATTTAAATATGTAAACCACAAAAGTTTGAGGAACGTCAGTTTCATGCACTTGTGTATTCCCTGTCCTCTCATTGGCCGATCCAGGACAGCCAATGAGGAGAGAGGTGCGTGTCAATACTCACATTTCTCTGAGCTCTGCGGTAACCACGGCAACGGAGCAATCATCGCTGACAGAGGCCAGGAGAGGAGCACTGCAAACACAGCCCATAATCATCATCAGTGTGACGCGGTGACAGGACAGAAGCGTGGTGCGTAGAGTGTGTGACGTCACTCGTAGCGTTTCTGAAGCCCAAAGTGGGCGGAGCCGGCCGTCGCCATCTTGGCCGGATAAACGAACATGTGCGGCGAGGCGGATTAGCTGAGGTGACGAGACGCTAACGCTAGCAGACAAACGGCTAGCAGTGACATCAGCGACAATCCACCTGTCACTCAAGTGGCCACGCCCTTAATTATGCAGAACTTTAAGGCTTAATATAATTTAAACGGATGAGTTATAATAAATCCCCGCTCACAGTCGTCATGAAGGGCAACATCAGCGATATAGACCAACAGCACTTCAACACCAGACTGTGAACATGTGTGTGTGTGTGTGTGTGTGTGTCGAGACGCACCTGTCCGAGGAGAAGCTCAGTCCCGAGACCCTACGAGTGTGTGTGTGTGTCGTCCGTACACCGTCCGACGACTGCAGATCTCTCAGAGTCACACGGCCCAGTTCGTCACCTGAGAACACACACACCAGTCAGCCGCACGGCATCATGGGACAGCACAGTGCATGCTGGGAAGTGAAGCGTACCGTATGCGATGCTGCTGCTCTGATGCGGGTGCCAGGAGACGGCGGTCGCGCTGCAGCTCGGAGACACCACGTCTACAACACACACGGGACGATATGAGAGTGTGTGTGTGTGTACAGATGCGGGTGCCAGGAGACAGCAGTCGGGCCACACTCCTGACAGGAAGTGACACGCGTTCAGTGGAATCCCTCTTTTATGATCATTGTGTGTGTGTTCAGGTGTGTGTGTGTGAGATTGTGTTTAAGGTATGTGTGTTTTTACGTTTTTTTGAGTGTGTGTGTTTTAAGGTGTGTGTTTGTGTGAGATTATATTTTTTGTTTTTAAGGTATGTGTGTGTTTTGAAGTTTTTTATGAGTGTGTGTGTGTGAGATTATATATTTTTTTAAGGTGTGTGTGTGTGTGTTTACCCAGGCGAGAGGCGGGTTTGTCTTTCCGTCTGTCCCACAACAGCAGTCGTCCGTCCTGCAGGAGAGACATTTACACACTCAAACACACACACACACAGTGCGTGTGTGTGTGTGTTTGATAGAGTGTGTGAGTGTGTGCGTGTGTGTGTGGACACTAACCTGAGCACATGACAGGAAGAGAGACTCGTCCGCAGGAGAGCACGACACACAGCTGACCGGCAGAGAGTGAGCTGACACACACACACACACACACACACAGATGAGAGACTGTACCGTCACTTCATAACTAAACATTATATATTAAATAAATGACAAATAATCATGCAATTTTTTATTAATACAATATATAAAAAAATACTCAATTTTTTCCTTCAAATCACATATGCAAATTATTAATTAGATGAAAATTATAATATTGTTGAAATATATGAGAAAACTATACGAATATAATTATTTACATTACTTAATAAATATAAAAAGCACATATAAATAAAACAAATGCATATTCATGAACTAATACGACGTGTGGAAATTATTCGTATTGAATTTTTCGTTATTTCTATCACGAGTTCATGAACCGCATCATCACATCATGTGACTCGTACCTATCCTTATAAATAAAAAGCCACATATATGATCTTTTTGTATGTATTGTTATTGTTACATATTACTAATGAACTATTATTACTATTCAATAGCCCACTGTGTAATCTATGACATCACTTCCTGTTTGCTCACCGGTATACGAGCTGATGACGCTCTCCTGGCTCAGATCCCACACTTTGATCCTGAAACCAGAGATGGAGAGAGTGAGTGATTGACAGCTGTCATGACGACGCTCCACACACACACACACACACACACCTGCAGTCGGCGCCGCAGCTGACGGCGTGTCTCGCGCCCACACACACGCTCACGCCCGTCACCACATCATCATGCTCGTGTGCGCTGAAACGGTTCACCAGTAAACGCTCGTCCTCCGCCAGCTCCCACAGCTCCACCGACCCTGCACACACACACACACACACACACACACTTAAGCCATCCGCAGTACAGACATCTCGAATGTTCAATACAAAGTGAATCCGCGGTTTTCAACAATGAATGATTCTACGACGACTCTCTCATGGAGTCATTTGCTTTGTCTCGGAATTTTGAATGAATCGTTTGGTTTGAGTGAATGATTCAGTGACTCGCTTGTTACGGACAGTTTTAGCATTACAGTAAAAGTCGACCTCAGATCACCAAGATTATGTTTTTAAATGTTTAATCTCTTCACGTCTCAGAAAAATCTTGAATGTAACTCGACACCTTTGCCTCATTTAGTATGCGCGGTTCTGTGCATATGCAAATGAGCCCCGCCTCCACTCACTCACTCAGCTCAGAGATCCACTGGTGTGATCTGATTGGTTACAAGGTGGTTTGTGACGTCAGAAACACCAGCGATTTCAAAGCGTGTCTTTGATTCACTGCAGTTTGAAGGAGGAAATACTCAGCAATGATTAAAAACACCACATATAAACAAACAACATTAAAAGCTGGACTTTCACTTTAAAAGCGTCATTTTACGTTAGCTGAGAGAATGAGACAATGAGGAAGATAGTGCTTGGTCGTGATTGTAAGTTAACTAGTTAAAGCGTTTATAACCAAACTGTTAAAAGTGAAATATGAGATGACATCGTTAAATATAATAAAGTAATTGCAGTCTTTTTTCTCATCTTTTTTCACTCCGACTGTTGTATTAGCCACTAAATGGCGGGAAATCGTAGTTTAAACCAGTGAGTCATTGAATCATTCACTCAAACGATTCGTTCAAAGCGGCTAGTGAATCGAATCTGCTTTCAAACCCATTAATACTGTAGTACTGTTATGACACGGCTCTGTGGAACGCTTGATTCTGATTGGTCAATCACACATCCAGCTGTGTATTACTCCCAGACAAGTATCCGGTAAAGTAAATAACCACCGGCTGGATGAACATTAGCCTTGCAAGAGTGTACAGTAGTGTGTGAGTTAGTGTGTTTTTACCCGCGTCTGACGCCAGGAGCAGCGCGCGCTCCGAGACCCAGCGAGCGTCCGTGACCCCGGCGTCCGTCTGAACGCCCGCCTTACAGTAGCCCTCGCTGGGGGCCAGTTTGGGGTCCGAGTACACCCACACCGAGCCCTGCCAGCTGCGGCCCGACAGACTGGAGGCACCCAGCAGCAGAGACCCGTCTGACACACACAATTAAAAATAACAATACAATACATACCAAATATACATTATTGATAGAAAAATATATGTGTAGTTCAATTAAATAAACGGTCAAACCTAAATATGTTCAGACTCATTCAGTTTATTCACTATAGTTTAGAAATTAATGGTGATAAAATATGAGCAGAACTCAGTGGATATTTGACTGGTTTTGGACTCTATGTTGAATATGTCAGCTGTTAAATTGAACTACACAATTAGATAATACCAGTTTAGCTCAACCAGTGACCAAGCAATGCTTCATGTTGTTCAGTGTGTGTGTAAAAAGAGCAGAAAACACACTTCAGCAGAACATCATCAGCTCATTGCTACTGTACTCGCTGTATGAAGAATATTTGTCACAGTTTACTTTATTTTGCTCTCCTCACTCACAGAATGAACTATAGTGTCCTGATCACACTAGTGGACAATATCAAAAATGATAATAATGTTTGTTTTGACTGTGAGTGACACATTTGTTGCAGCAAAATAAAAGAATCAGCGTTGCAGTTCATTAATAATAAAAGTAATTAAGATTAAATGATCTGTATTATATTGCACATGACTATTAGCGCATCTGCAGTAAGAGATGATCGTTTTAATCTGACCTTTCCTGTAGTCCACCGCGTCCAGGTGTCTCTCCATACACGCCGGGGCGTTTACAGGGATATTCCAGCAGTTATCCTTAATCATTATGATCTCCAGTTATTATCAATATCACAATCTACAAAACACATGCAAACTCCCGCAATGAATGAACAAGACACGCGCGTCTGCGGCACTTCCGCTTCCAGCGCCGCAGACACTTCAAAATAAAAGCGGAAAATGAAACGAGCTTCAAAATAAGAGCCTTTTGTCTCTCATTGAGGAAAATTCTAATAATAATACATCAATTATTATTATCAATGATATATTAATTTACTAAATGTAATTATGCTTATGATAAAAATAACGAAACATAAAATATCACATGTATTTATAAATTCCCGTATTTTCTCCTCTAGGTGTCGCGCTAGCGCCCGCTTTACACTTTAAGACTAATATTTATCAGAGATGCGAGTATTTCTCCCGCAAAACTTGAGAAAACTTGTGATGAAAATAACATTTAAAAATAAGTATTTATTTTAAATTTCAGTGTATTATCGAACACCCTTTCTCAGAGAGAACTCAAACGCTTTGATGTATTTTTTCCTTAAATCCAGATTTTTGCAGTTGATTTCGCAGCAGATCATACACTATATCTGTGATAAATGTGCTGTTAAAGTCCATCCTGGGTTTCAACACTTGTACGCTTTAAGCCAATAAATGATCAACACTTTGAATACGAATATTTTGATATTAAAACAAGTCATTGTGCATCTTTAAATACAACCAAACTTCATCACAACTTCTCCATTCAGCCAAGCTCATCATCCATGACCCCATCAAGGTCAGCCAGGACTCTTGGGGTTGTAATTGATGATCATGCCTTGCACAACATCAGGAGTTATCTTCATAACTGTGTTTCTGTAATAAATCCTCTGTCCGCTTCACAGATCTCTGGTTCCCCATTACAGTGTGTGAGTGAGCTCATGAATATTCAGGAGTGTCTAACGGCCTATGGGTGTTGCATTGTGTGTCGTCATGGTGATCTGGCACTGGCGTTCAGGTGTGGCACCTTCGTCTGTGTGTGTTGAGTCACTGTCTCACCTCAGACTGGACACACCCCACACACACACACAGTGCTGAAATCAGTGCCCGCAGGCGGAAAGTTTTAAAACACACAAACACACGTAACTCTTCATCACACACACACACACACACACACTGTTCAGCAAACACTCAGTAGCTGGTCTGTCTGTTTATGATTTCAGATCTTGTTCAGTGATTGTAAAAATCAACATTCAGAGTCTCTGAAACTGACATAAAACTGCTGGTTAGTTACCTGAACGACCACAGTACACACACGTACACACACACACACACACACACACACAGAGAGAGAGAGCTGAAATCAGTGCCCGCAGGCGGAAAGTTTTAAAACACACATAAACACACACACTGAATATAGTGTTCATCAGTCTGTATCATAATAATGAATCACGATTAAATTCCATCTCTGTTACTTTGAGGATGTGAGTGTGTGTGTGCGCGTGTTTATTCATGTTATGGAGGGTGTGACGCTGTGAGGAAGGGTATAACACACACACACAGGTGAGCGGCTCCTGAAATAAAAGCCAAACACACACGGCACACACTGCATTTGAACACTTCACACACACACAGAACTACAGCTTTCACACAAACACACTCACACACACACCGGTGAGTTCTTCACTTTAACATGGTTAATTAACCCTGGCTTGAGTGTGCTTCAGTTGTGCTTTAAAGAAAGTTGTGTTTTATCCGTTTAGATCGAGATACTGTCCGGATGAAGACGTGGATTTTTCTTTCTTTAGCAGGTTTGTTGGTCAAGCTTTTAATCATGGTCATATATCATATTATGAACATCATAGTTTTTTTTTAAAAGCTAATGATATTCTTCATATGTTATGTAAATGTTATGCTAATAATTCAGTACAACAGCATATGTGAGTTCTGCGTGATTTTACCGTAGTAAAGTGTTGTGTTCTGGTCTCCAGCTCTGTCTGGTGAGTGTTACAGTAATTTTACCGTGATTTTACCGTAGTAAAGTGTTGTGTTCTGGTCTCCAGCTCTGTCTGGTGAATTTTACCGTGATTTTACCGTGATTTTACAGTAGTAAAGTGTTGTGTTCTGGTCTCTAGCTCTGGCTGGTGAGTGTTACAGTAATTTTACCGTGATTTTACCGTAGTAAAGTGTTGTGTTCTGGTCTCCAGCTCTGTCTGGTGAATTTTACCGTGATTTTACCGTGATTTTACAGTAGTAAAGTGTTGTGTTCTGGTCTCCAGCTCTGGCTGGTGAATTTTACCGTGATTTTACAGTAGTAAAGTGTTGTGTTCTGGTCTCCAGCTATGTCTGGTGAGTGTTACAGTAATTTTACCGTGATTTTACCGTAGTAAAGTGTCTCCAGCTCTGTCTGGTGAGTGTTACAGTAATTTTACCGTAGTAAAGTGTTGTGTTCTCGTCTCCAGCTCTGGCTGGTGAGTGTTACAGTAATTTTACCGTGATTTTAGCGTAGTAAAGTGTTGTGTTCTGGTCTCCAGCTCTGTCTGGTGAGTGTTACAGTAATTTTACCGTGATTTTACCGTAGGAAAGTGTCTCCAGCTCTGTCTGGTGAGTGTTACAGTAATTTTACCGTGATTTTACCGTAGTAAAGTGTTGTGTTCTGGTCTCCAGCTCTGTCTGGTGAATTTTACCGTGATTTTACCGTGATTTTACAGTAGTAAAGTGTTGTGTTCTGGTCTCTAGCTCTGGCTGGTGAGTGTTACAGTAATTTTACCGTGATTTTACCGTAGTAAAGTGTTGTGTTCTGGTCTCCAGCTCTGTCTGGTGAATTTTACCGTGATTTTACCGTGATTTTACAGTAGTAAAGTGTTGTGTTCTGGTCTCCAGCTCTGGCTGGTGAATTTTACCGTGATTTTACAGTAGTAAAGCGTTGTGTTCTGGTCTCCAGCTGTGTCTGGTGAGTGTTACAGTAATTTTACCGTGATTTTACCGTAGTAAAGTGTCTCCAGCTCTGTCTGGTGAGTGTTACAGTAATTTTACCGTAGTAAAGTGTTGTGTTCTCGTCTCCAGCTCTGGCTGGTGAGTGTTACAGTAATTTTACCGTGATTTTAGCGCAGTAAAGTGTTGTGTTCTGGTCTCCAGCTATGTCTGGTGAGTGTTACAGTAATTTTACCGTGATTTTACCGTAGTAAAGTGTCTCCAGCTCTGTCTGGTGAGTGTTACAGTAATTTTACCGTGATTTTACCGTAGTAAAGTGTTGTGTTCTGGTCTCCAGCTCTGGCTGGTGAGTGTTACAGTAATTTTACCGTGATTTTACCGTAGTAAAGTGTTGTGTTCTGGTCTCCAGCTCTGTCTGGTGAGTGTTACAGTAATTTTACCGTGATTTTACCGTAGTAAAGTGTTGTGTTCTGGTCTCCAGCTCTGTCTGCACTGTGTGTGGCACAGCAGGACTGTGCTCGAGGCGCTTGTTACCCGCCGACAGGCGACCTGCTCCTGGGCCGAGAGCAGAACCTGCGCGCCTCCTCCACATGCGGTCTGATGGGGTCAGAGGTCGTCTGCGCACCACACGGACAGGTGAGGCGCTGTTCTTTAAGAAAATGATGACACAAAAAGTCAAAATGAAAATAATTACCAAGTTGAAAATATAACGTCATAATTATGAAATTAAAACATCAGAATTATAAAAAAAAAATCTAAATTCTCACTTAAAAGTAATAATTATGACATAGAAAGTCATAATTTCAACAACATCTTCATAACATTTAAACATATTTCCCTCTTAAATTCCCAATACAGTTATTATCATGATTACAAATTGTCACTAATTTGTATATAAATTAGCAGAAATATATATATATATATATATATATATATATATATGTGTGTGTGTGTGTGTGTGCGTATATATACATAAATAAATGTGTGTGTGATTTAATATTTATTTTACATTACAGTAATGAGAACGTAAGGGGTAAACGTGTTAAATTGTCATGAAAATAATATCATAACACAAAAATATTTGTCTTCACTATCTTTATGAAAATAACATAAATGGTTTGTATGACTTTAGGGTGAAATAACTCGAGGGTTTTCGTGACATTCACTCATGTCTGGGTATTATGGTACGCTAGCAGCAGTTTTTTAGGCTGATTCATTTTGAGTTGAACGTGTTAATTCATGTTATTGCTGATGGTTTGTAAAATGAAATCACACAGACATTCTGTTCTCATTAGGACATGATGAGACGTAATAATAAACAAACTCAGATTCCCCAGCCTGAGGCGACGCTCATCATATGTTACATGTCAATGATAATTAAACACATTTTAGCTCTATAACCTTACTTTATGACTACTAACTCATTTGTGCGTGTGTTTATTTGAGGAGAAACATCTGAGACAACGTTGATACTAAAATGTATGGAAGCCCATTTGCCAAACAAAATCATAATTATGACAAAAATGTGAAATTCTGACTTAAGACAGAGAAAGATTTTTGTTTAGATCTATGAATTCCCTTGTCATAATTTCACATTTTGACTTCGAATGACATTATAATGACATAAAAGTTAAAATTATAAGATACTATGAGATAAAAAATTACGAAATTATGGTTTAAAAATTAATAAAATTAATTACTTAAAAAAAGTCAAATTGAAATTGAAATTACAATTGAAATTATAACTTCAGAATTATGAGATTAAAAAGTCGGAATTGTTACCCAAAATCTTGACTAAAAAGTCATAATTATGACAGAAAGTTTTTTTTTAAAAAAAGTGGTAATTAATACATAAAAGATCAAAATGACGCAGTAACTGTCATAAAAGTCAAAATTATAACCCAGTATGCCATTTTTGTCATCATTTCAACTTTCTATGACATAAAATTCAAATTTGTATTTAGTACAATCACAATTTCACTTTTTTGTCATAATATTAATGACTTTTTATGTCATAATTAAGATTTACTAAACTTTTTTCTTAAGTGGAGAAATTGCTAACTTAAATGAGATAAAATAAGATATAGCCACACAGAGTCCAACTCAATGTCTCAATGTTAACACACCGTCTGTGTCCCAGTGGAAGATGAAGTGTTGTCCGTGTGACTCGCGGAACCCCGCGGCCTATAACGCTCACACGATCCAGAACGTGATGTCCAGCGCCGGACCCAACCGATGGTGGCAGTCCAAGAAAGGTACGACATCAAACCACATCGCTGACGAAAACACACACCAATATTCTGTCAACCATTTTGTTTACGTCAGTATCACTTAATGTATGTCAGGTATTCGATATGTTCGAGTTCGGCTAAAATACATGTATTTAAAGGACTAACGAGAAGTAGCCATAGTTTTAAGTGTACTCAATGAATATTTCAATATTTCATGTTTTACTAAAACGACAAATTACATTCGGTCAGCGCATATTTTAACCTCTATTTTTTTAACTTACGATGCCAACGGACGATCTGTCCTGAGGAAAGTAACCATGACAACAGCAGCAGAGCGCGGGAAACACTGTTATGATCAGTGTCGACGAAACATATTGATTTATTATTACACCACAGAACTTGTGTTTTAAATACATTTAAGATAACAGAGGTTAATCGCGAGCACAGCAAATCTACTTTATGTTACGTGAAACGAATAAATGGCTGTAAAGTCACATTCATCACATTCATCGTAGTAAATGTAGTCATCAAAGTCCTAATAATAAAAAAAATAGGTATAATAGTTAATAGTTATAATATTGTTATTATTATTTATTAATAATTGTTGCATTTCACTCCTAATTATGTGCTCTATGCTGTACATTTTTATTTGCTCTTTTTTAATATAATAACAGCAAAAGTAATATTTAAACAAATTATTTAAATAAAGTTTTATAATTATTATTTGTTCAGTTAATGCCGAACAAATGTACTTTCTTTCCTATTTAGACTACCTATTGTTACCTAAACATATTCAGTACACACTTTTAATTAAACACGTCACATTTGTTCGTAATTCATAGATTACACAATACAATTTGATGGATATATGTCAGGACAAGCATGTTCGTGATTCCATCATTGACAGGTTTTCCGGTGTTAATGTGAGTTTGTGTGTGTGTGTGTGTGTGTTTATAGTGTTAATGTGAGTGTGTGTTTTGATTCCAGATGTGAGTCCGGTGACACTACAGCTGGATTTAAATGGGATTTATCACCTGGAAACGGTCCTACTATCGTTCAAGGTATGCTGTAGTGTATTTACATACACAACTCTTCGTATGGAGCTCAATCGGGTCGATTAAGGCGTTTTCAGTGCGCTTGACCCGTCAATCCCATTACTAACAGATTATTTGGTTGCATGTAAACGTAGCCAGTCTTTCTGTGATGTGAAAGAGTGTTTTCTTACGGGTGTTCTGGTCTGCAGGGCCCGAGGCCTGACGCGTTGGTCATCGAGAGGACCAGGGACTACGGCGGCTCCTGGGAGCCGGTCCTGTACATGGCCACCGACTGCCCCTCCACCTTCCCTCAGGTGAGCACGTCGTTCCCGGGACGCCTGCAGGACACCTACTGCTACACACTGCCCTCCACCGCAGACCAGCCCTACAGGGACCAGAAGGTACGAGCTTCGTCACAACAAGAAAACCAGCATGATAAGACACTAAAAGTTGAATTTATGAGATACTTATGTATAATTATGAACTGAAAAGTCAAAATCATGATATATTAAGACAAAACGTATACATTTTGACATTCACTTATGATAATTATGACATACAAAGTCGTATTAAGACATAAAAAGTTTCATTATAACAAAAAGTTGAACTTATGATATATGTCAAAATTATGACAAAAACGGGCTTCCATATGTCGACAATTCTCTTCTCCTCAGGTTCACTTTTATCCTCTCCATCAGTTCTCAAACATCGATCTACCGAACGAATACAAAATTGAAGGTGAGATGTTTTGACTGATTAAAACTCCCAGATGTGATGATTGACAGCTCATGAACTGTGATGATTGACGGCTGGTTTGTCCCTCAGTGGCGTCGGGCTTCACGGGTCTGCGGGTCAATCTGACCCGGTTGGGTCCGGTTCCCAGTTTGCCGGGCCGAGGCCTGAGTCAGTTCTACGCCCTGCGGGAGATGAAGGTCATGGGATCCTGTTTCTGCCACGGACACACAGAGCGGTGCAGAAGCCAGACCAACACACAGGTCACACAAACACACACACACACACACATACACACTGTAAAGCTCGTCAGCTCATGTGTGTGTGTTTGCGTTCTGCAGGTTGGAGGTGTGTGTGACTGTCAGCACAACACGGCTGGTGTGAACTGTGAGCGGTGTGACGACTTCTACAACGACCTTCCCTGGAGACCCGCGGAGAGCGGAAACACACACACCTGCAAACGTACGTCTGCGTCACGGCGAATAAAAACCAAAACATTAGATCTCACGGCTAAAATCAGCAAAGAAATGGCAGAAGTGTTATGCTAGTGTGTTATTTTATATAAAGCGTTGGAGATGTGCTGTACAACAGCCGGAGTGTGTCAGCATGTGTGTGTGTGTGCAGGTTGTGACTGTAATAATCACTCTGATCGCTGTCACTTCGACCCGCGGCGTTACGAGGAGACGGGCCGGCGCTCTGGGGGAGTGTGTGACGGATGTTCTCATCACACAACGGGACCCAACTGTGAACGCTGCGAGCAAAACTACTACCCGAACCCTCTGAGTGACATGAGGAGCCCCGACGCCTGCCTGCGTGAGGATACACACACACACACACACACACACACACACGAGGATGATGATGCTGATGCAGGTGTGTCCTCAGGTTGTCTGTGTGACCCCGCGGGCTCCGAGAACGGGGGTCAGTGTGACGCGACGGGAGTGTGTGTGTGTAAAGCTAACGTGGAGGGCGACCGCTGCGACCGCTGTAAAGACGGACACTACAACCTCGACGCCAACAACCCTCGCGGCTGCTCCAGTGAGTCTCATTCCTCTTCATATACGAAATAATTCATAAATATTAAATTGGCAATAAATAGGAAATTATATTAAATATGGATTGCGTCAGATTAATTAAAAGTGTTTAGGTTGAATTTGTTTAACAAACTGTGTGTGTGTGTGTGTGTTCAGAGTGCTCCTGCAGTTCTGTTGGGTCGGTCAGCGGTGCGTGTAACCAGCTGACGGGTCAGTGTGTGTGTCGCGCTAACACTGAGGGTTTAGCGTGTGACCGTTGTGCTGCTGGTTACTGGAACCCGTCGTCGCCCAACGGTTGTCAGCCATGTGACTGTGACCGCAACAACGCCCGCAGCGCCACCTGTGACCAGGTACACACATCACACACACACATACACACACACACACACACACACGCACAGGAGGTTCTTACGTGTGTTTCCTCGTGGTTTAGCGCACGGGTCAGTGTGTGTGTCGTCCTGGCATCGGGGGCCGGACTTGCAGCGGTTGCCCTGACAACACGTATGGAGATCCACTGATTGGCTGCAGACGTGAGTGTTTCCTGCCGACACAACGTTCATTCATTTTTTACACATCAACAGCTCACCATATTGTTAGTTAGTTAGTTAGTTAGTTAGTTAGTTAGTTTGTAAGTAAGTAACTTAATAATATTGTAAGTTAGTAAGTTTGTTAGCATGTTAGTTAGTAAGTTAGTTAGTAAGTTAGTAGCTTTTAGTTAGTAAGTTTGTTAGTAAGTTAGTAAGTTTGTTAGTAAGTTTTTTAGTCAGTAAGTTTGTTACTAGTTAGTAGATTTGGTTAGTAATTAGTTAGATTGTAAGGCAGAAAGTTAGTTAGCGAGTTAGTTGCTAGTTTGTAAGCTTGTTAGTCAGGAAGTAGTTTGTTAGGTAATAGGTTTTTTTGTCAATAAGTTAGTTGGTTGCTATTAAGTTTGTTAGTTTAAAAATTAGTTAGTATATTTGTAAGTTTGTTAGTAAGTTTGTTTAGTATATTTGTAAGTTTGTTGTAAGTTTGTTAGTATATTTGTAAGTTTTTTGTAAGTTTGTTAGTATATTTGTAAGTTTGTTAGTATATTTGTAAGTTTGTTCGTAAGTTTGTTAGTTAGTAGGTTTGTTAGTAAGTTTGTTAGTATATTTGTAAGTTTGTTAGTTAGTAAGTTTGTTAGTAGGTTAGTTAATAAGTTTGTGAGTTTATTAGCAAGTTTGTTGTTAGTAAGTTTGTTAGTTTTGTAAATTAGTTAGTAAGTTAGTTGTTAGTAAGTTTGTTTGTCAGTTTGTTAGTAGGTTTGTGGTTAACAAACAGTTAAGTGGTTAATAAGTTTGTTTGTTAGTAAGTTTGTTAGTATATTTGTAAGTTTGTTAGTTAGTAAGTTTGTTAGTAGGTTAGTTAGTAAGTTTGTGAGTTTATTAGCAAGTTTGTTGTTAGTAAGTTTGTTAGTTTTGTAAATTAGTTAGTAAGTTAGTATGTTTATTTGTAAGTTTGTTAATTAGTTATTTAGTTAGTTAACAAGTTAGTTCTTAGTAAGTTTGTCAGTTTGTTAGTTGGCTAAATAACTAACAAAAAAGTTACATTTCAATTATTTTGTTTATATGTAGTATTTAATTCTCATTTACACGACATATTATATATTCTTATATCTTATAAAATTTACATTTATCTTATATTATATATATTCAATATTTAATGAATGTTGTGTTTAATACAATGTAATACTGAAAGTGTCCTTCTGGTGTGTGTGTCAGCGTGTGACTGCGAGTTTTCAGGCACAGAGCCGGGCGGCTGCGATAAACGCACAGGCTTGTGCCGTTGTAAATCAGGCATTACCGGCCCTCGCTGTGACGTCTGCGCCCGCGGCTATTGCGCCAGTTTCCCAGAATGCCCGGCGTGCCCGTCCTGCTTCTTCAGCATGAACACCGACCTGCAGGAGCTCACGCTCGGTCTGGAGCGTCTCTCCAACTCCCTGCTGTCCTCTGGTGGACGACCGACGTCTAGCGACTCGAGCCGCAGGATCCAGACGCTCCAGGACACACTCGCTCTGATCCAGGAGTCCGTGTCTGTTCCCCCGCAGTCCAGCCGCGCCCTGACCGAAGCCCTGCAGAGACTCAACACGCTCCGGTACACACACACACTAACCCTACCCCTAAACCTACCCATCACACACACACACACATCAGCTAACGCTCTGCTCCTCCAGGTCTCAGATGGAGGGCTTGAGAGTGGATCTGCCGTCTGCGCCTCGGGGCCGAGAGCTGGAGCGAGAGCTTGACGAGCTGCAGTCGCTCCTGTCGTCTCTGAGTCTCCAGTACTTCAGCCGCAGAGACACCTTCACCAGCACCACCGGATCCACCAACGCCAGTGCGTATCAGTAGCGCATGATTCTTGATTGATCAGTCTGTAGCATGATCGCTAATTTAACTTTGGGTATCGTTTGAATTATATCAATTCCTAATTTCGATTCCAGTAAGGTAAAAAAACAACTCAGGAATATGAGCGCTGTCACTTTAAGAGCTGCGGGTCCAATAAACACGAGGACAGAAAGTATTGAAACGCTCACAGAGAAATCGATATTTAAATTTTATAACAAGTATCTGATTCCTGACCTCAAGTATTCGATTCCCAACCCTATCGAACAATGGAAACTGTTTCACTCTCAGGTGACTTCTACGCCATTCAGAAGTCGTATAATAATTCGACTGACGCCGTCAAGCGAGCCGACGCCACCATAGACACCCTGAAGAAGACCGAGGGCGTGCGAGAAAACGCCCTGAGTGGCCTGGACGCCCTGCAGCCCGGAAACACCAAAGACCTGCAGAACCTGAAGACGGACCTGGAGACGCGGCCCAATCTGACTCCCGCCGCCACCAAGGTGAGATCATCGCTGACGGGCAGAGCAAGTTATAGAGGAACGGGTCAGTAAAGATGTGTTTAATAGGTTTGTGGCAGTGATCGCGTGGAGCCCTGCACTCCGGAGCGCTGCGCAGGCGACCTGTGTCCTCCGGACGGAGCGCCCCCTTGTGGAGCGGAGGACGCATGCACAGGAGCACTGCCCAATGCCAACAAGGCCTTTCAGGACGCCGACGAGGTCAAGGCCAAACTGCAGGATCTCAACGACAAGATCACTCAAGCAGCGGAGCAGGTACCACCAATCTTACTGTATCTTATTCATACCTATTACATACAACAATAAAAAATATTATAAAGAAGTGAACGTTCACCAATAATGTTAACGAGTGAAAATTAAATTTGCTATTAAATGTCAAACAAGCCAAAAATTATGTTAAATAAAATTGATATTGGGAAACATAAAGATTGCACTTGTAAATATTTAATAAAAAATAAATTATTAATAAATATTTGTATTAATTGTCAGTAAATAAACAAATATTTAATTATAAACATTACATATAAAAATAGCAACATTTGGCATTCATTAAAAAAATATAAAAAAGACACAATTATGAGAAATAAAGATGAAATTGTGAAATATAAAGATGATGACCAGCTGGAAAGACTCATAAGGATAGTTACATTGACTCGCGTTGACGCTGACTCTCTAGAAAACACAGATACAGGAAGCTGAAGATTCGGCCAATAGGGTGCGACTGTCCACTGACAAGCTGGCCGATCAGATCAAGCAGGTGCGAGCCGACGTGGACGGAGACCTGAAAGACACCAAAGACTTCATCAACACACTGAGGGACTTCCTGTCAGGTCAGTAACACACTCACACACACACACACACACACACACACACGTCATTGCTTTAATTTTATTTTGACAAGCTGTTGTAAAGCGCTGTAGTGTGTAGTGTGTTGTAAAGCGCTGTGTCGTCACCCGCAGAGCCTCACTCAGACCCGGAGCAGGTCCAGCGAGTGTGTGAGGCGGTTCTGGAGGCCCGGCTGCCTATGAGTCTGGATCAGCTGAAGCAGAAGCTGAAGGATCTGCAGGATCTGATGGTCTCAGTGCCCGACAGCAGCAGCGTCCTGACGACTAGCGGCCCGCAGCTGGAGAACGCCAGACGCCTGCTGGACGCCGCCCGCGACACACGGTACAGTCAACCAAAGAAATCCTTAGAAAAAAGAAAAAAAACCGATGTTTTGATTGAACATTTTTTAGACAATTGTCATAGAGCATTTATAAAAAAAAAATAAAAATAATGAAATTCTTTGAAAATTAAGTGATTTTTTTTCTGCAAAAAGTGAGGAGCTCTGTACAGGTCTATGGTGACAGTCACAATCGCGCACCTGATTACACCAAACGCTACAAAAAATATAACTGCTATCTGCCACATAATGAAAAATCTTAACAAAAGCTCTCGTTTACAGGCTGTATTCTTCTTTACTACTTTTGACCAGCCAATCTAGCAATCTAGGCGTTTTAAAACAACACACAAAAAAACAAAATAGCCTTAAAATCAATCTGAAATAGGCTGTGTTGTAAGAAGACATATAGGTTTATTTTCGTTTTGTTACATTAGGCCATTTTCAAATGCGTCAAGTGTACAAATAAAAACGTAAACATATTTAGAAAACACAATCTGAGTCAGCATGATAAAGCCGTTAAAAGGGCTGCTCACGTCTTTTTTGCGCGCTCAAATTCGATTTCAAATGTAGGCGCGCGATGTGTGCGCTCATAATGGAGCAACGCGATCGCGGTCGCCTACCTCCACAAAAATGTAGCCAGACAAAAGATTTGGACTTCTTGGACATTTTGTCGACTAATCAAGTAGCGTGAACTGAATGAATACAGCAAAACTACTTACCGGTATGAGCGCGAGCAGCAGCGCAGCCAGACACAGGTGCGGTTCCCGAGTGTATTATGTGTGTGCGCTAACTGTGGCGCAGTTACTAAAAATAGCCTAAATTAAATCATTTAAAGTTGGGGATAAAGCATAGGCTAATTATATTTAGAATACAGTAATAAATAACTGCGTTATAAAGGAATAAATATCAAGGAGTAAATCATTGAAAATGAATTTCTATTGGTAAAAAAATAAATAAAAAAAATGCGACTGGTCGACCAATTAGAATGTCAGTCGACCAAGACGGCCTAAACGACTAAAGTTGACAGCCCTACGGTACACACACACACACACACACACAAGACCAACTATTGTGGTAAAAAAAGTATATAAATGTTTATTTTTTTTAAACCAAATACCTGACATCAGTAAATTAACAGGAAACTTTCATTTTGAGGTGAACTACTCCTTTAAGGGGATTTCCCGTGCCGTGACACGCTAGTCATTTGTTAGTTGCGTCTTGCTTTAGTCGTTTCAATGTAAAAGTCTTCTCTGCTGACGGACTCACTCATAAAGACAGTGTTTTCCGACCATCTAACGGCGTAATAATGTAACGTAACTTCTGCTGCTGTTCACGGTCAGAGACTATTTTTTCCAGCGGAAGGAAGGCTTTTAGTGATTTAACTTGAACAATGAAAGTTACATTGATGCATGTTTTTTTGGCTTCAATATTTGTATTGTGTGGTAACCGTTTTATAAAAGCTACTCGAGCCTAGCGCTGTATCGTGAATAATAGTCACTCTGCTTCGTGTTGTGCCTAACAACTCCTCGTGACTTATTCACCGCACCGCACAGCCCCGAGGACCTTCTTGCTTACAGATATATTTGTATTTGGCTGATGTTCTTGACTGGTTATTTCTGCAGAGACGCAGCGTTTGGCATCCAGCAGGACGGCGAGAGTCTTCTGAAAACGATGAATGAAAACGAGAACATTTTCGATGACCTAGAGGACAAAATCCGGCAGAGCGTTGACATCGCCAACGACGTTAAGAAAGACGTAGAGCGGGTCAGTTCGAGTTACGTGTGCGGAAACAACGGACACGACCTCAGAAGTCAAATTAACCTGGATTTTTCATCTCTCTCTCTCAGATAGAGGACCTGCTGGTTCCCGCTGAGCAGGGGATTGTGGGTATTTCAGGGCTGATGGATGAGATTCGCCCCCTGGTGGACACGCTGAGGAACGATGCGGCGACAGGGACAGCGCTGGCGAACGAAGCTCAAGATCAGGCTAACTCAGCTGAAGACGAGGCCGACCGGGCCGCACAGGTACTGAACACACACAACAGTTCACGTTTATTTGTGTAGCGCTTTTCACTTTTCACAAATAGCTTTACAGAAAGTGCACGAGTCCAAATTACAGTTTACTGTTATCAGTGGAGAATGTATTTCTGAAATGTACATTACAAAATCACAGTTAACTAAAAATTACACTCACCAGTCATAGTTAGTAATGGTTTAGTTAGTAAAGCAATGTGTGTGTGTGTGTGTGTAGGCCCTGGAGGCTTTAAAAGACGAGTTCGAGCGGATGAAACGAGCCGCGGCTGAAAACACTCAGGCTGGGGAAGATGGTGCTCGTTTACTAAAGCTACAGGAGGAGGCGGAGTCTCTGATGACAGACACCTCTGACATCATGAAGGCTCTGATAGGTAACGCCCACAAAAACATACATCCCATAATGCCATTACCGATTGTGTGGTTTGTGAGCGATTGCGATCCATTTTAGAGAGATGATGTGAACAAATCATTGAATCAGAGTTCGGAATCAGTAAATACTAATTTGAATCACTGACTCGGTTCATTTGAATCAATTAGTGTATTCAATTGACTCGGTGAATCGACTTTATTTTTATTCATTCAAATCTGTGAATCAAATGAGTCGATTCACTGACTGTTTGAATACTTTAGGAGGAATCGATCCACTGAATCAGAGTCAGTTGAAAGAATTCAAGTCAAACACTGTTTTTGGTACTAAAGGTTAAATTTTATATGCAGTTTATAATAAAATCAAAACATCCATCGCATAATATCATGCGCACACATTATAGCTCATGTGGTTTGTGATGATTGCGAGATATTTGTTGACATTTTAGAGTGATGATGCAAACAAATAATTGAATCAGAGTTCTGAATCAGTAAATAGACTCATTTTATCAACAGAATCAGTTCATTTGAATCAATGAGTGTATTTGATTGAATCAGTGAGTCGACTGAATTTATTCAATCAAATATATAAATCAAATGAGTCGATTCACTGACTGTTTGAACACGTTAGGACGAATCGATCCACTGAATCAGAGTCAGTTGAATGAACTGTTTTTGTTACTCGAGTTTAAATTTTAAATGCAATTTATACTAAAATCAAAACATCTATCCCATGATGTCATGTACACACATTACCCATGGTGACCGCTCGTGTTTGTCTCTCAGATAAAGAGGCGTCCATACGGCAGCGAGCGACAGAGATGGAGGAGAACGGCTCGCGGTTGACCGGTCTGGACGCTCAGGTGGAGAAACTCCGTGACGATATCCGCTATAAAGTCACCAGCCTGAACATGTGCCAGGGCTGATGACACACACACACTCACACAACACTGATGACACACACAATAGTAACACTAATAATGACACACAACTAACACACATCACTTACACGGTGTCTCCATAAAGGTTTTGTGAGCTGCAATGTCTACAGTGGACAACTAGCATACTAAATAGTGCTTACTAACATGAGTATGTTTTGATGAATAAAGCTATGAACAATTTCTCTGTTTCCGTGTGTTTCCTGTCGTACGGTAGATCTGGTTCCGCGAGTTCCCCGTCGTACGGTAGATCTGGTTCCGCGAGTTCCCCGTCGTACGGTAGATCTGGTTCCGCGAGTTCCCCGTCGTACGGTAGATCTGGTTCCGCGTGTTCCCCGTCGTACGGTAGATCTGGTTCCACGTGTTCCCCGTCGTACAGTAGATCTGGTTCTGCGTGTTCCCCGTCGTACGGTAGATCTGGTTCCGCGTGTTCCCCGTCGTACGATAGATCTGGTTCCACGTGTTCCCCGTCGTACGGTAGATCTGGTTCCGCGAGTTCCCCGTCGTACGGTAGATCTGGTTCCACGTGTTCCCCGTCGTACAGTAGATCTGGTTCCGCGTGTTCCCCGTCGTACGATAGATCTGGTTCCGCGTGTTCCTTGTCGTACTGCAGATCTGGTTCTGCGTGTTCCCTGTCATACGGTAGATCTGGTTCCGCGTGTTCCCCGTCGTACGGTAGATCTGGTTCCACGTGTTCCCTGTCGTACAGTAGATCTGGTTCCGCGTGTTCCCCGTCGTACGGTAGATCTGGTTCCGCGTGTTCCCTGTCGTACGGTAGATCTGGTTCCGCGTGTTCCCCGTCATATGGTAGATCTGGTTCCACGTGTTCCCCGTCGTACAGTAGATCTGGTTCCACGTGTTCCCCGTCGTACGGTAGATCTGGTTCCGCGTGTTCCCTGTCGTACGTTGATCTGGTTCCGCGTGTTCCCCGTCGTACGGTAGATCTGTTTCCGCGTGTTCCTTGTCGTACTGCAGATCTGGTTCTGTGTGTTTCCTGTCATACGGTAGATCTGGTTCCACGTGTTCCCCGTCGTACAGTAGATCTGGTTCCGCGTGTTCCCCGTCGTACGGTAGATCTGGTTCCGCGAGTTCCCTATCGTACGGTAGATCTGGTTCTGCATGTTCCCTGTCATACGGTAGATCTGGTTCCGCGTGTTCCCTGTAGTACAGTAGATCTGGTTCCGCGAGTTCCCTATCGTACGGTAGATCTGGTTCCGCGAGTTCCCTATCGTACAGTAGATCTGGTTCCGCGTGTTCCCCATTATGCGGTAGATCTGGTTCCGCGAGTTCCCTATCGTACGGTAGATCTGGTTCCGCGTGTTCCCTGTAGTACAGTAGATCTGGTTCCGCGAGTTCCCTATCGTACGGTAGATCTGGTTCCGCGAGTTCCCTATCGTACAGTAGATCTGGTTCCGCGTGTTCCCCATTATGCGGTAGATATGGTTCCGCGTGTTCCCTGTCGTACGGTAGATCTGGTTCCGCATGTTCCCTGTCGTATGGTAGATCTGGTTCCGCATGTTCCCTGTCGTATGGTAGATCTGGTTCCGCGAGTTCCCCGTCGTACGGTAGATCTGGTTCCGCATGTTCCCCGTCGTATGGTAGATCTGGTTCCGCGTGTTCCCCGTCGTATGGTAGATCTGGTTCCGCGTGTTCCCCGTCGTATGGTAGATCTGGTTCCGCGTGTTCCCCGTCGTACGGTAGATCTGGTTCCGCGAGTTCCCCGTCGTACGGTAGGGGGCGCTGTTACACTACTCCTGAAAGAGCTCTAAACTCCTGATCAAACATGGGCAAAACTTTTTGCTCAAAATGTTGTGATGTAATTAAACGTGTTCTCATTCAAGTTGGTGTGTAAATAGTTTTATTTAATGTTTAACACAGCAGCATGTTTATGGATTATAATACACTGAGCTTTCAACAATCATCTTATAAGCACATATAAAACACAAACATAGATATTATAACAGTAATGATAAATACATCGTTAAGAAAATAAACACAGTCCTTAAACACACTCAAACACGCAGCTGTTTACTGTAGAACAGTGGCACATGTGATCCACCCTTCCCATGATGCACCCTGTCAGTCCACCACGGGTGTAAATATGACTACTGTACATATATATGCAGACAGTAGGGGAGATATTACGACTCAGACCGTACGGTCTCACGGGCAGTCCCTGAGAGGAGAGACGCTCTCGGCCTCTTCCCAAGTACCAGTCAGAGAAGCGGATGTGTGTGTGCGACTGGCACTCGCCCGACTCGGCCTGTGCGTCCCACAGGTAACGGGACAAACCGACGCTCAGATAAACACGATCTGAGAGAGAGAGAGAGAGAGGTCACACACCTTCACGATCACGTGACTGTATAAGCAGAGGCCTGATTGGATACTCACTTCATTTGATTGACAGCTGTCAGTCAGACGATTACATCAGAGAGCAAACGCCGGTCTGAAGAGTCTGGCCACGCCCATCTGTGCCACAAATCATCCTGTCCGACCTGAAACACACAATAACTCATGAGGGCTGGTATTGAAGCATTAAATAGGATTAAAATGTTTGTATGTTTATGTACGTTTTAAAACTGCGATATAGTTATGAACAGCAATATTTATCAACACTTGTTGTATTAAACTATATTTACAAACATGAGACATGCCACATGGAGACTTGAGGAAAGTGATGATGCAAATGAATCATGAGATGGGAGTTGTGAATCAACAAATAGACTGAATCTGCTCATTTGAAAAATGCAATTAAAGTTTTGATTTACTTAGTTAAATTTACAAAACTACTCGATCCATTAGGAATCGATTCATTGAATAAGAGTTATGAATGGATTCATTGAAATTTCAGCTAAACAAATTAATCAATTCACAGAATCAAATAAGTTGATTCAGTGCATCAAATGAGTCGATTCACTTAGTTGAATTTATAAAACAACTTTTTTAATCCATTAGCATTCAATTCACTGAATCTGAGTTGTGGATGGATTCATTGAAATTTCAGTTCAACAATCAATAATCAATTCACGGCATTAAATGAATCGATTCAGCTAATCAAATGAGTCGATTCAGTATTTTAAGTGAATCGATTCACTAAGTCTGTTTTTTAACAACTTTGAATTTGTTAGGAATCGATTCACTGAATCAGATTTGATTCATTGAAATTTCAGCTAAACAAATGAATCAATTCAAAGAATCAAATAAGTTGATTCAGTGCATCGAATGAGTTGAAATTATTATGATTTGATTCATTTAAATTTCAGTTTCCAACTCTAACACAGTTTTGCTGCTTAAGTTTTTGTAGTAACTTTCTCAAATTTGTGATTTGAACATGCTCTTGGGGAATTGTGGGGATATTCATTATGTTGTTCTATTTTTTGGGTCAAATTCAAAGCCATGACGTACGTGAGAGAGATGTCAATCACCAAAAATACTCAAAAGTCTTTATTTGTCAGGGTGTGTGATCAGCATCACCTGCTAGCGGCGCCGTCTGACGCACACAGGTCCGACTCCGAGTAATACGCGTGTTGCCCGGTCTCAGAGATGACCAGCGCGTGCATCGGCTCGCTGTTGCAGGCCTTGAGCGGGCCATGCCCCCTGATGACATCAGCGTGAGGCGACAGGGTCATGTGACTGCACGAGGGGTTCCCGTTGGTGTCCAGCTCGCTGGGGGCGGGGCCTGGAGACGAGACGTCCAGCACCTCGATCAGCGGGGGCGGGGTCAGGCTCGGGGTCATGACCTCAGGGTCAGCGTGAGCCAGCTGAAGACGCCGCATGTGACTGACCGCCACCGTCACGTTAATGGCTCGCTAAAACACACACGTAATCATACATTCAATTCACGGTTATCAGTATAGCGCTTTTCACAATACACACAGTGTTCAAAGCAGCTTTACAGAAAGTGCACAAGTCCGAATTACAGTTTACAGTGATCTGTTATCAGAGGAAACTAAGTTATGTATTTCATAAATGCACATATACAAAATTATATAAAATTATACACAAAACACAGTTAGATAAAAAGGTATCAAATAAACCACTTCTACTCACTAGTCACACAGTATGTTTATTGACAAATCAGGTTGTTTATTGGTGCACGTTTTTTTGCATTCGAATGTGCAGAAAATATTCGTAATTTTTCTTGGACAGCCCTCAGGTGTACACGTGATCTGCTCGCTCACCTTCCACTTGGATTTGGCAAAGTTCTTCTTTATCTGCTCACAGACGGACTCGATAATATTGTCATTGTGCGCCGTGTCTCCGATTATCCTGCACAAAGAGAACAGCAGCTCGTTTATTCACAAACCAGCATGTTTATTCAGACATTTATCAATTTATGCATTTGTTTATTCAAGAATTCATCATGTGTTTTTCATGAATCAGTATATTTAGTTATGAATATGTATGCTTTATGCATTAGTTTATTCATGTTTAATTATGAAGTTGTTTTTTATCATCATTCAATATGTTAATCGTGGTTATTCGTGCCTCAGTTCATCAGTCCACATATATTCTCAGAGGTGTTTCTCACCATGGATGACTGAGCGCTTGCTCCGTTGTGTAGCGTTTATTAGGGTTTTTCTCCAGCATGTGCCTGATAAAGTCCTTCGCTGCAGAAATCAGAACAAACCACAATTGTTCACAAAGGTTTTCAATACATACTAACAATAAAGGTGCAGTGTGTAAGTTGTAGCAGCATCTAGTGGTGAGGTTGCGAATTGCACCCAACAGAAGTTACGGTGGGAGACAGGAAGTGATGTAGCCAGTTAAGCAATGAGGTTTCTTTACAAAGATTGTTTTTACCTAATTATTCAGTAAAACCATATGTTTTTGCGAATATTATAGCCACTTGTTCATCAGTGTGTTAGTGTTTTTTTCGCTGACTTTAGCAGCTTCTTTGCATGACGAATAGCATAGTGACCAAACGCGTATGTCCACTTAGGGCCACCGTAGAAACATGTCAATGTAAGCGGACCCGCGGTGTGTGTGGAGAGAGATGCCTCATTCTAAGCTAATACAAACATAACGCTTCATTATGTAAGCTCTTTATACACCACTGAAAACACAATCATGTATATGATATTGTATTTCTGTCAACAGATCCTCCTAAATATTACACAATGCACCTTTAACATACTAATACATGCAAACATTTTAAACAGAGACCCATGTTTGATGGCCTATAGGTGGCAGTAATGACAGCGTGTGTGAAGCGTTTCTGACGCACCTGACTCGGAGATGTCATTCCAGTATGGCGAGTGGAACGCATATTCTGCCTTCATGATCTTGGAGAAAAGGCGCGTTTCATTCTCCTCATAAAATGGCGGGTATCCACTTAACCTAAACAAACACATGAAGAGATCAGCCTTTGAGGAAAAACACACCTGACCGGATCTCAAAAGTGTGTATGATAATGGCAGACTCACAGAATGTACGTTATGACGCCGATAGACCAGCAATCCACCGCTTTACTGTACGGTTTCTGAGCCAGAACCTCCGGAGCTGAGGAGAATGATCACCATAATGAGAATAATCACCATAATAAGAATCATCACCATAATGAGAATCATCACCGTAATGAGAATAATCACCGTAATAAGAATCATCACCGTAATGAGAATCATCACCGTAATGAGAATAATCACCATAATAAGAATCATCACCGTAATGAGAATCATCACCGTAATGAGAATCATCACCGTAATGAGAATCATCACCATAATAAGAATCATCACCGTAATGAGAATCATCACCGTAATGAGAATCATCACCATAATAAGAATCATCACCATAATGAGAATCATCACCGTAATGAGAATAATCACCGTAATAAGAATCATCACCGTAATGAGAATCATCACCGTAATGAGAATAATCACCATAATAAGAATCATCACCGTAATGAGAATCATCACCGTAATGAGAATCATCACCGTAATGAGAATCATCACCGTAATAAGAATCATCACCGTAATGAGTATAATCACTGTAATGAGAATCATCACCATAATAAGAATCATCACCGTAATGAGAATCATCACCGTAATAAGAATCATCACCATAATAAGAATCATCACCGTAATGAGAATCATCACCGTAATGAGAATCATCACCGTAATGAGAATCATCACCGTAATGAGAATCATCACCATAATAAGAATCATCACCGTAATGAGAATCATCACCGTAATAAGAATCATCACCGTAATGAGTATAATCACTGTAATGAGAATCATCACCATAATAAGAATCATCACCGTAATGAGAATCATCACCATAATGAGAATCATCACCGTAATGAGAATAATCACCATAATAAGAATCATCACCGTAATGAGAATCATCACCGTAATAAGAATCATCACCGTAATGAGTATAATCACTGTAATGAGAATCATCACCGTAATGAGAATCATCACCGTAATAAGAATCATCACCGTAATAAGAATCATCACCGTAATGAGAATCATCACCGTAATGAGAATCATCACCGTAATGAGAATTATCACCATAATAAGAATCATCACCGTAATAAGAATCATCACCGTAATGAGAATCATCACTATAATGAGAATCATCACCGTAATAAGAATCATCACCGTAATGAGAATCATCACCATAATGAGAATCATCACCGTAATAAGAATCATCACCGTAATGAGAATCATCACCGTAATAAGAATCATCACCGTAATAAGAATCATCACCGTAATGAGAATCATCACCGTAATGAGAATCATCACCGTAATAAGAATCATCACCGTAATAAGAATCATCACCGTAATGAGAATTATCACCATAATAAGAATCATCACCGTAATGAGAATCATCACCATAATGAGAATCATCACCGTAATAAGAATCATCACCGTAATGAGAATTATCACCATAATGAGAATCATCACCGTAATGAGAATCATCACCATAATGAGAATCATCACCGTAATCCGTAATGAGAAAAATCACCGTAATGAAAATCATCTCCGTAATGAGAATCATCTACGTAATGACAATCATCACCATAATAAGAATCATCACCGTAATGAGTATCATCACTGTAATGAGAATCATCACCGTAATGACAATCTAACAGCAGAAGTAAAGCGTTCGTACCAACATATCCCGGTGTTCCACAGGCCGTAGACATCACGCCGTGATCCGCCATCTTCGACAGACCGAAGTCACTGATCATGATCTTGGAGTTCTCCTCTGGACTGTAGTACAGCAGGTTCTCCGGCTGCAGACGGATACAACAGAGGACATTAATAATGTTTAGGACCTATTACAGCATTTCAGGCTCTACTAGAACAGGTTTTCCTGCTTGAATGTTGATTATTTTCTAGCTCCTCTCTTCCCAGTCTGTCAATAACGCTCTGTTTACTTCCTGTCTCTATGAAGCCCCTCCTTCTGAAAAGCACACTGTGCTCTGATTGGCCGGCTGGAGCAGTGGGTTGTGATTGGTCGAGCGCTTCGAGTGTGTTTGGGAAATGTCCCGCCCATTACCACAACCAGCCGTTTAACACACTACTAACTAACTCCACCAGGCCCCGCCCCTTTATTCTGTATATTAATTATTTAAATGAGGAATATTGGCATTTCAGGGAGATTTTAGAAACAATGACACTAACCGGAACTTTGCAGAGCTTCTCATGAGAATTGAACGTGTAAAAAGCATAATAGTCTTTAAATTAAAACCTCAACAGAAGATCAAGCTCGCTCACCTTCAGGTCTCTGTGGACGATGCCGTTCTGGTGCAGGTAGGATACGGCCTGCAGGACCTGTCTCATCACACGGCTGGCGTCCTTTTCCGTGAAAACACCTCGATCCAGAATACGGTCAAACAGCTCTCCGCCCGACACCCTTCACAGACACCCAAACATGGACGAGTTAATACACACGCTGAGCGACTGTGTTTGTGTGTTTTATATTTTAGGCATTATCAAACACGTACAGCTCCATGACCAAGTAATAGTGTGTTCTCGTCTCGTAGAAATCTTCCAATCTCACCACATTATCATGCTTTATCCTGAGAGAGAGAGAGAGAGAGAGAGACTTGAGAATCCAGAACATGGTGTCGTTCTGTAGTGTCATGTTAGTCAGTAGATTTAGGGGTGCGTACTGTATGTGGAGTCAGGTGTGTTTGTGTTAATGCTCTGTCGTATTTGTAGTCTGTGGTGTTTTGGAATTGAAATTGGTATTTATGTTCTCAGCATGACCCAAGGAATCTATTAAGACCAGTTTCAATGCAATTAGCTAATTTAATCAAACGTTTTTAGCATTATTGGAAATTTCATCAATTTTCAGCTTTTGACCACAAGGTGGCGCTGCCTGGAAACTTCTTATATACTTTTAGGGTGTGGTGCTGAAGTCACATACCAAGTTTTGTAAAGAAACACCAATGTTTGTAAAATATAGCATATTATGACAAAATTCAAAATGGCCGACATCTAAAATGGCCAATAAAAAATTGGGTCTCGTTCGACTCGGCACGCTGCACCAGTGAGAGTTTTTGATTTTATTGGCCAAATATTTCAAAAGTTCTAAGCAAAAAGAGCCATTTTTTTAAATATCTCCTGACCACTAGGTGGCACCGTGATGAAACTGTGCCATTAGCCTCAGGTCATGGTTCTCATAACACACACAAAGGCTGCGTCTGTTTATTCCAATTGTTGACGTTCTTATTATTATTAAATAAGCGTGAAAAGCATGAAAATCGACCGTAGCTCCAATTTTCACTAAAATAAACCAGATTATCTTCAGACCATGCCAAAAAAAAAGTTATGGAATTTTGATTCGTCAAACGGTTCTCGAATACCAGATGAAAGAATTTGATGAAGAGCACGCCGAAATGAACGTAAAGCTATATCTCCGCAACGCTTTAGCTTATTCTGACCAAACTTAGGCTCGATCCAAAATCACCCCCTATAGGCCATTTTTTGGGGGGACAGCCATTTGTAGTGGTGTCCGAAACCATAGTGGACGTAATCGAGTGTACTCATTCCATCCCACATTGCACTGCAATAACGAGTGTACAACCGAAGTACGCTCAACGGCTGTCCGAATTCACTCACTCATCCTTCGAGTGAGCCGTATTAGTGGACAAACGTAGGGAAAGGAGATCGAGGATTTAGGGGGCGATTTCGAATTCAGCCTATAGTTATATTTGCTTATAACTTGTGAAAGATTTGTCCAAAAAAAAAAAAAAAAAAATCACAAAACTCGAACGATCCCCAATTTTCCCATTTCGGCCATTTTGGATGTCGGCCATTTTGAATCTTGTCGTAAAATGCTATATTTTACAAACATTGGCTTTTCTTTACAAAACTTGGTTTGTGTCTTTGACACAATGCCCTGATGGTGCCTAAAAAGTTTCTGGGCAGCGCCACCCTGTGGTCAAAGGCTATAATGAAATTTCCCAAAAATGCTACAAACTTTTGACTAAATTAGCTTATTGTAATGAAATTGGTCTGTTCCTTGGGTCATGCTGAGAACATAGATACCAAGTTTGTATATTATATTATATATTATATTATATTATATTATATTATATTATATTATATTATATTATATTATATTATATTATATTATATTTGAGCCCCGAGTGCTCGTTTCAGTGGCGTGTGTGTCTTGTTTCGTACCTCTTCAGCACCTTGATCTCGTTCTCAAGGTTGGAGTGGTGCAGCTGTTTTTTCTTCACACACTTCAGGGCGTAGAAATTCCCGGTCTTCCTCTCTCTCGCCAGGTAGACCTCAGAAAACGAGCCCCTGCCGAGACACATGAACGTGGAGTTTGAGATCAGCACTAATCTATCAAGGCTCAGCTGTGTCCGGCCTGTTCATCACACCTGGTCTCTCTTAAATAACTGTCCTAGAACGAGGATTACTGCGCGTTACACAAGAGACCCAGTACCGCCCCTCGCGACTCATTACCCACAATGCATCTAATCCAAAAAAACCCCCCTAGAAATACCTTGCAACCGCCCAGAACAACACCTGACAATGTCCTCATCATGTGTGTGTGAAAACACACTCCTACAGCACAGATCATCTCAGATTGAGAACAATAGTCACCGTTTGGTTGTTGCACATTGATGAGAGCCAATGACGACACTCATTCTGGACGCTTTTGTGATCTTTTTTTCTTCCGTTATGAATAAATCCATAATCAACAAGAATTGACAAGAACATTTAACAAAGATCCGTTAGATCTAGTACTCTTTTGGAGACAGATTTGTCCCCTTCGTAAACCGTCTCGATAATCCTTTAATTAACTAGTGTCAGGATGTTCTCTGATGTCTGTGTCATTCACCTGCTGATGATGATTGACAGGTGTCAAAACGAGAGAGAGAGAGAGGCTCACTAATGCTCACACGACCAACAAACCCCGGACAAGCATGAATATCAAAATTACAAAAATGCCTCATAATGACTTATAAAGCTTTATAACGCCTTTTACTTCACAATGCTTTATAATAGTTCAGTACAGCCGTATAAATCATCCTCACATCCTATAATGCCTCATAATACTTCATAACTCTTCATACAGTGTAATAAGAGCTTACTGTATATTGAATCTTAAAGCTTCATAACATTTCGTGATAATAATGCTCTATACCCTTCATAAACGGTCATGGTTTAGCAAAGCTTCCCAACATTTTATAGTTCAACACTGATTTTTAAATATTTCATAAAGCTTCATAACACCTCATAACTCTTCATAAAAATGACTGAATGCTTAGTTATGATTCATAACACTTCAAAAAGCTTCATCGTGCCTCACAAGCGTTCATAAAGTGCCATAGGAGATCATAATAATAAGGATGCACCGATATGAACATTTCGGTCAATGCCAATAACCGATATTTATATTTGAAAGCCGATAACCGATATATTGTCCGATTAATCCGATATAAACCGATAAATTATTAAATATTAAACCGATATATATTGGCCTATAATGTTCTCATGATAATGTTCAGTAGCTGATATTACAGACTTATCCGTATTTTCCTGTTTTGAAGTGATTCCAATCATATTCAAGCAATTCATAACCATCATCTAACAGTGCGCGACTGAAGCGTCTCAGCCGAGGGGAAAAATACGGTATTTATCAGCTTTAAAGGAGTAGTTCACTTTTAAAGAAACTTTTGCTGATAATTTACTCACCCCCGTGTCATCCGAGATGTCCATGTCTTTCTTTCTTCAGTCGAAAAGAAATTAAGATTTTTGATGAAAACATTCCAGGATTTTTCTCCATATAATGGACTTCAATGGGGTCCAAAAGACAGTTTCAGTGCAAAATGACTTTAAACGACACCAGACGATGAATAAGGGTCTTATCAAGCGAAACGATCGCTCATTTAATAAATAAATAACAAGTTTAAGTTTTATAAGCTCAAATGCTCGCCTTGCTCTGTTCTGTGACGCACGTTCGTGACTCTCCTGTTCGAACTCGTTCATCAAAATGAACGAATCTTTTTCCGAGTCATTTGGTTCATTCAATGAACGAAATGAACGAGTTGACTCTAGAAAAGATTTGTTCATTTTGATAAACGAGTTCATCTAGAATAATTTAAAGCCCTTTAAACAGTTTGCACTGAAACTGTCTTTTGGACCCCATTGAAGTCCATTATATTGAGAAAAATCCTGGAATGTTTTCATCAAAAACCTTAATTTCTTTTCGACTGAAGAAAGAAAGACATGGACATCTCGGATGACACGGGGGCGAGTAAATTATCAGCAGAGGTTATTTTAAAAGTGAACTACTCCTTTAATATATCGGACATTTTCTTAACGAGCCGACGATATAACGATAACTAATCGCATCCAAAATTAGACAACACAATATATGTGTGAGTACTGTGTATAATTATTTTGTAAATATAAATACACACATATGCATGTATATAGTTAAGAAATATTAGCATGTTTATACTGTATAAAATATAACTATTTTATATGTAAATAACACATTTTTTCTTAAAAATATATCGTGCATCCACAGATAACCGTGCCTCTTACAGCTCAATAACGTTTCAGATTGCTCACTTCACAATGATGAGTAACGCTAGTATTAGTGCTAAACGGTGTTTCTCAATGGGATGAACGGCTTCGTTGATAAAAACGTCCCCTGGTCCTCAATCCGTTAATCTGCGTGTCGTCAGGTTTAGACGCATGTGTCTCCTCTGGGAATAAAGCTTCTGATCCTGTAATAGCCTCGAGCTCGCAGACACACACCTTCACCTGACTCCTGACTCATGAAGCGCTCCATACTTACGATCCCAGCACCTCCTTGAAGTCAAAGATCTCCTTGATGTTGCTGGTGATCTTCTTCCAGCTGCAGTTGATCTCCTTGCGACCCATCGCGGCTCGAGTTTCTCAAACCGACTCCTGGAACACACACATCTGTCATATTACTGCCCACTCCTCCTCGAGTGTGTGTGAGTCAGATCACGCCATCTTATATAAAGGTGGAGGAGGTCGCGGTCGGCCACGCTAATGAATCTGCAGTTTTTCTGAGAAGAGTTTTGATCTATGACCTCTGACCTCTCTATATAGGTTAATACTTTTAATATATCCGGAATCACTTTTACTTTAATGTTACAGTATGAACTATTAATGAACGGCATTTAGTACTCTTAATGAAACATGTACTAATACATAGTTGTATTTGCATTATTAATACAGTGTGAACAGACATGAGCAAGCGATGTTACGTTATAGTTTTACTGACAGTAAAACAAAGTCTAACAAATAGTTAAATTTAGCTAATAACATGTTACTTAATAACATTAACAAACACTATTACACAACCCAGATAACTGGTTAACACACATTTGAACAACTTTAATTCATATATTTAGCCTATAGAAAGTTTGCGAATGCTTATCATTCCCATTTATCTTTGGTATTTTAACGTCGTTCAACATTTAATGTCAAATAATCACAACAACAGTTGAAACACTGAGTTTAGAATAAAACGTTACGTTATAACGTTACATGATTACATTTGAGTCGCGTTTGAAGCCTCGTGAGCTCTCAGAGAAATGATAATTCATTTGAAAGAAGAAGCCAGTCTTACCGGAGGGGTGATGATGATGATGATGTTGATGATGATGATGATGTTGATGATGATGATGATGTGATGAGGAGACGCAGTTGGCGAGCATCTACCTGAACTCTCACGAGCTCGTTAAAGCTTCATGAGCGCGCGCGGGGGGCGGGGCCGAGGCGCGTGACGTCACCCGCGATCACCTGAGAGCCAATCACAATAACCTTCGTTAAAAAAAGTTATTGTATGAGGTGTTAAGGAAAGGCCGAAGGGTACTCTTTAAAATTAAAATTTTGTATATTTAAAGTACGATAACAGTGTGAATAAGAGACTTTTGTAGTATAATTAATTTGTTCCTTTTATTAGTCAAATTTCACATTCCTAAGTGTACGTTTTATAACAAAAGCCAGAAAATTAGATTAGAAAATTACTTTTCAGTCGAGTAGTAATGGGAAAGCTATTGAGACTGTTCACTTGTCTTCAAAATCTCTAAAAGATACAAAGGTCTTATATTTTTGTCAATGTTTATTTTATTTTATTTTTTAATGTGTTTTCTTTGCTACCCTAGGCTGTTATAGCCTATTGTTTTGCATTCATAAAAAAAAATATTACAATAACATCCCATGCCGATACTGCGTTACAAATAAAGTGGCAAATGCTATATAAGCGAGGTTTGTACTTTAATGATGAAGAAAAACACACTTTATTTTCAATCTGTATTTTGGCGGTGAAGAGCTTGTAAATGATGTCGTGTTGTCACATAGAGCGATATCAATGTTCAAATTTGTACCAAATAATATATTTTCATATAAAACGATATGAAAACAGGCCGCTTTGATTACATGTGTGTGGTTTAGGACATGTGTTTGCAATGTGTGCGGCTTAACGTGTGATAGAGCGCTGCTCGCGCCACGCGCACGTGTGTGTGTATGTGAACAGGTGAACAGGTGCGCACTGACTCATTTCAGTGTCTTATAATCTAATATAACTCTGCATCATGCTTGAGTTCATTCTGCTTATCATCCCCATGTATAATCTCATGTATCTGTTGATATGATTATAATAACCAGAGTTGCTGATCACATGAATTATGAGCGCAGTCCGTGAGCGAGCGTGACGTCACAGTACGAGCTCGTTCATACACGTAATCATTTGCGATTATATTATATAATATCATAATAATTACATAATATTTAAACGTATTTATTTCCATATAAATTGCAAACAAACCACACTTATAGATGATTATACATTTTTTATATTAATAAATGTGATTTAATTGTAATTATTTCAATGCTTTGTTTACAAAATATATGTAGTAATTATTTTATTAAAACATATGTAATATTATATTATTAATTTAATTATTATGTCATGCACACTGTTTTTTAAAGTCAAAAAAGTTGATTTTAAAATCAGTTTTACAAATAATTCTTTATATAACCACTAAATCAACAAAAAAAGTTCCTAAATACAATGATTTGCATCAGTAGATGTTCGTTTAAGAACATTTTCAGCTGCTTTAATCTGGTTAACATGACCGGAGTAGAAATGAAGAGCACTCCCTGAACCTGCTTCTCATTCTGAGACGTGATTGGCTGCGCAGAAGGATGTGGGCGGGGTTAAGATGCCCTCAGGAAACAGGAGATCATTAGCACACGTCTGTACGCGTTTAATCTCATCCAGATCAGGCTCATCTGACCCCTCTATTAAACTGCATTAATGAATTTTAAAGCCTCTCATGCATTCATTATAATTACTAATGAACAAATGAGCAACACCTGGTGAATCAGTCGCTCTGAAGCTTCTCAATGTCTCTCTTAATTTAAATACTGTTAATTAGAGTCATTAATCTGTTGCCATGGCTTTGCACCTATTTCAGGAGAAAGGAGGACATTCAGTTGAAATAAACAAGAATATTTAATGCCAATCTGTTAGTATTGCGTTCAGGACACACAAGCAGCCACATTCACAAGGATTAAAGTGAATTTAACTCTATAATCCAGTTAAGTTCATCTGCTGTCTATGAGTGAATGAGTTAGAGTGACTCACTAGCGCCACCTGGTGGAAACCCACAATCAGTGACACTTGTCTCGTTAAAAAAAAAGACCAAAATGGAAATAAGTTGTTGCAACTTCCTTAAATGTAGTGTGAAATAACTCAATTCAAAACAGAAACATTCATTATTCAGTTACGACAGGGTGTTTATTCATACCTAAACTAGTCCTTTAAGATCTATAACAGCACTAAACCATCAGCGATTTAAACAAACACTCACAAATACATATAAAAGAGTCGTTATCAGACCAAACACGAACGAAATCACTGTGACGATCCGTCCGTGAGGAAACCTCCAGGACACCAGGGGGCGCCGACGTGCCAAGAGACGCCTGCAAACATATCATGTCAGTGGTCTGAGTTATGCGCATGAATTATGATGAAGATGACTGTAAACGCACATTTCAGGGTTGGACTCCTCCCCTTGTTCTGACTCCTCCCCCTCACATGAACTTTCTTTGGGCTTGATTGGAGGATAACGACGGCGATGGCACGTGATTTGCGTCACACTGTCGAATACAAAGATCGGTCACATGTAATTATGTGGTGAAGGAATATATATGTCCTAATGATTTTTGGCATAAAACAAAAATCTATAATTTTGACCCATACAATGTATTGTTGGCTATCGCCACAGACACACCCGTGCGGCTCGGTTTGTGTTCGCATATGTCACGCGTTTTACCTTTGAAACACACCTCTGTCGCCATCATCATCTTGGTTTAGACTGTTCACAGGAGAATCTACTTCCTGTCTGAGAGACGCAAATAGGAAACAGTCATATTTTCGGGCTAAATAAAGGTTAAGCTACTAGTCTAGTCTAGTATTACCTCCGGTCTTCTTGCGTATCAAACTCTGCGTTTGCGTCCGCACCGGTTTCGCAGTTCTCCAAAAACGAAGCCTCTAGACGCTTCAACTGCAGAGATATAAACCTCGTAAAACCTCCAGACATCAAACCAGAAGCAAACGTTGGAATATGAACACGTAACGTACCTCAGATTGAGTCGGGAGTAACGTGATGCTGACCCTGCGGCGTATTGGCTACGACATAAGCGCTAGCTATTATTGATGGTTGAACACATATAGTGACAATTACAGCGATAGTCAGAACATCTATCAAGTTCCAAACAACATAGAGGTTTGGTCACAATAAACTTTCATTCTATGGAAGAGAGTGGCATAAAACTACAAATAGGGTCTCTAGTTCACAAAGTAAAGTCTAGAGACACTGATACTGTACGAGTCACTGATTTAGTCTATTAGGTAAATGATGGTCAGTTACCTGTTGTGATAAATGTCTGAACAGGTCCCGGTCATCTGTTCAAGGAAAAATATATGGGTACACATTTACATGACAACGATATGCTTATGTCTTTTCTTCACGTAAAGATTGCCAAATATTCAACGTCTAAAAACGTTGTATTCTGCTCCCAGGCCAGTAGATGGCGTTTTCAAAAACTTGCACTTTGAAACCCTTTATCAAAACTTTGTGTTTTCAGGAACCTAAAATGCAGTTGTTGTGTAAATGAAGGGCCAAAATGCATAAAAAGTTTGATGTTTTTGGTTAAAAAAAGGTGTAAGCGGCCCCTTAGACGACAGGTTTATTTACTCTCCAGGCCACTAGGGGGCAGCGTTGAAACCCATTTTCAAAAGTGGTTGTCATAATGCCCTTGTTGTGTAAATGAAGGGCCAAAATGCATAAAAAGTTTGATATTTTTGGTTAAAAAAAGGTGTAAGCGGCCTTAGACTACAGGTTTATTTACTCTCCAGGCCACTAGGGGGCAGCGTTGAAACCCATTTTCAAAAGTGGTTGTCGTAATGCCCTTGTTGTGTAAATGAATGGCTAAAACGCATAAAAAGTTTGATGTTTTTGGTTAAAAAAAGGTGTAAGCGGCCCGTTAGACTACAGGTTTATTTACTCTCCAGGCCACTAGGGGGCAGCGTTGAAACCCATTTTCAAAAGTGGTTGTCGTAATGCCCTTGTTGTGTAAATGAATGGCTAAAACGCATAAAAAGTTTGATGTTTTTGGTTAAAAAAAGGTGTAAGCGGCCCGTTAGACTACAGGTTTATTTACTCTCCAGGCCACTAGGGGGCAGCGCTGAAACCCATTTTCAAAAGTGGTTGTCGTAATGCCCTTGTTGTGTAAATGAAGGGCCAAAATGTATAAAAAGTTTGATATTTTTGGTTAAAAAAAGGTGTAAGCAGCCTTAGACTACAGGTTTATTTACTCTCCAGGCCACTAGGGGGCAGTGTTGAAACCCATTTTCAAAAGTGGTTGTCGTAATGCCCTTGTTGTGTAAATGAAGGGCCAAAATGTATAAAAAGTTTGATATTTTTGGTTAAAAAAAGGTGTAAGCAGCCTTAGACTACAGGTTTATTTACTCTCCAGGCCACTAGGGGGCAGTGTTGAAACCCATTTTCAAAAGTGGTTGTCGTAATGCCCTTGTTGTGTAAATGAATGGCTAAAACGCATAAAAAGTTTGATGTTTTTGGTTAAAAAAAGGTGTAAGCGGCCCGTTAGACTACAGGTTTATTTACTCTCCAGGCCACTAGGGGGCAGCGCTGAAACCCATTTTCAAAAGTGGTTGTCGTAATGCCCTTGTTGTGTAAATGAATGGCTAAAACAGTGTTGAAAACAGTGTTGTGTAAGCGGCCCCTCAGACTACATGTTTATTTGCCCTCCAGGCCACTACGGGGCAACACTGAAACCCGTTTTCAAAAGTTGTTTTCATGTAACGCCGTTGTCGTGTAAATGAACGGCCAAAACGCATAAAAAGTTTTACATTTTTAGTTGAAAACGGTGTCGTGTAAGCGGCCCCTAAGATGACCGGTTCATTTGCCCTCCAGGCCACTAGGGGGCAGCACTGACCTGTGGAGTCGCTGTGTAACCGACGCTTCCTCCTGTGCAGCATCTTCCTGGCCTCCAGCATCTCCTCGCTCTCTGAAGCGTGACGTTTCTTGAGATGCTCCACGTGAATCGACATCATTTCCACGGCGTGACTGACGCGCGCTTCCTGATAAGCAAACATGGTTGTGAAAAGGTTTCTGAAAGGTCAACGCGCGTCTTGTGATGTGAAGTACCTGGTGTGCGGCTCCGAGCATCTCTGCTGTTTTCGCTACGGTGTCTACGTTGCTCTCCAGCATCTGGAGGCTGTTCTTCATCTGTTCCACCATCTCTCTGCCGTCCACATCTGGAAGACGCTCGTACAACACCTGCAGGACAGCACAAACCCTTATAACGCACCCACAATGTCGTAAATACGAATACGAGATAAAGTTTGCAGTGGCTCCATAAATTAATTTAAAACATAAAAAGCAAAGCAAAACAGATGCACATTTCTTTCTTAATTTTCTAGAAGTAGAGTTCAAGAACCTTGCTGTATTTTTGTGTAATTAATTAAGAGAAAGTACATCGCCATCTTATTCCTTACGATCTTACGATTTCCCGCCTCGTACGTACGAACTTCCCAGGACGACTTGAACGCACCATAAGATAGCAGTCGCGATGATAAACGTGTTCATTCATTATTAGGGGTGTAACGGATCGAAGTTTATCTGAACTGTGAGAACAGTCAATCAACGAACTAGCCCCACCCACTTGCACTTTGACCACACCCATTCTCCCATTAGCGGCTAAATTTAACCATCATAAAGTGAACGTTCATCATTTGAACGTGTTTTGTCTTGCCAATTAACGAAGTATATATAAAGTTGGCAAGATATAAACTCACAATTGAGTGCGAAAAAGTCAGAATTGTGAGATATAAACTTGCAATAGAGTGCCGAAGTGATGACGTCACTTTGTAGGACGACTCGGAAGCTAGCGGCGCACGGGTTCCCTCGGTCGAAAAGCAATGCATTTTCCCCATAGACTTTTGGAAAATCGCAAAAAATAAGATCTGTGTTTATGACACTTACACGTTTTGTCTAGCAAGATAATCTTTACAAGTTAATCCAAAATTTATACATTTTGAAGCCTATATATTGAACACAAATCAGACACAATAAAGTTTAAAAAACCACAAGCAGGTTATAACTGTGTGTTCTGTGTCATAGATCAAAACGTGAAAATATTTAGAGGCTCTGTTCACCACAGACCTTATTTCAGGCGATTTAGCAAAAACCCATTCAAAAATCCCATAGACTTTAGAGCGAGGGAACCGTAGTGCTAAAATGCTAACTTGAAATGCTAACGTAGTGCTAAAATGCTAAAATTTTAGAGCGAGGGAACCGTAATGCTAAAATGCTAACTTGAAATGCTAACGTAGTGCTAAAATGCTCACTTCCGCGGTTTGGCCTACAGAGTGACGTCGTAACTTCGGCACTCTATTGCGTTATAAAGTCAGACTATCAAGATAGTCTGTAATAAAAGATTAACAATTGCGTGTTATAAAGTAAGAATTGTGAGACCCTAACTCGCAATTGTGAGATAAAAATATTGTTATATTTATATTATTATTATAAATTCTATTATTAATAATAGTAGTAGTGTTATGTAGCGCTAGCGTAATACAGATATTATATCAACTGAAAAGAGTTTTGAGTCGCTGTTAAAGTTAAGATAGCTACCAATGCACGAACTTTGCTCAACAAACTAAATTTGCGTCGGCGCTCTAAATTTAAACTCTCAAAGTGCACCGGATCTATGAGCTGAGCTGAACGAATGTACCCAGAATGCCCTTGCGACGCTCAGGTGTGTGTTCTGCTGTACCTGCAGCATCTCTTGGGTGTGTAGCAGCTCTCTCTGCAGATTCTCCTCCGCGACGACACGCTCGTGATGCTCCGCTTGAAGCCGCTGCGTTAGCGTGTACTGGTCACAGCCAAACCCCAGTGCAAACTGGGTAAACGCGCTCTGCGTGTGTGTGTGTGTTCACAGGGGTTAGTGACGTCTGGAGATGTTATATCTAACACACACTCACTCTGAGAGAGACTCACCTCGACCTCGTCCTCCGTCATCTCCACACTGCTGTGAGAAACATGTCCTGTTAGCGTTAGCATTAGCAGTCTGACACTGGGAGTGTGTTTCAGCGGGTCTTTATTACACTTGTGATCATATTAAAATGCCGATTCCTCATATTGATTACTCTGTGTGTTTCAGATCGATGCAGTCTAACGGCTGATATTGCCTGGACGAGGATTCGGTTAGAACTACAAACAGTAAAACTACAGACATGGCGGATGAGTCCAGCGGTTGTGTAGAGAGGTTTAGATAAAGGGGTTTGAGTGATTAATTATCACTATCTAACCTGACAAATGTATTTATTCAATGTTGTCCACATTATATTGCATCTGGAGAAGCGAAAACCTTTGTTAAGATAGTTTAACCATTTACTTTTAAATCATCTTTACCTCTTTAATCCCAGTCTGTCCATGACGGATAACTTCTCCCAGGACGCCGCCAGCAGGTTCTTTGAGTTTGGATCTGTTTAGCGGGAATAACCAACTAAAGTTAGTGTTTATCTCAATATGTTAGAGATCAAAACTGGTAGGCCTACTATGTTTAAAATAAAAACTAAAATTAAGTGTGTGTCATACCGTCATCGCTGTCGTCACTGTCTCCCAGTATTCCAGTATAATCATTCATTCATCTGCTGATAATACACACTAAGAAACCAATAAAACACCAGTTTCTTCCTACCGTTTGTGTCGTGTTCAGAGATAAGGAGTCAGTCGTAATCTTCTTAGCGCTTATAGCCAACGGCATGAGAGATTGCAGGAGGAACCTGTGTTTACAGAGCCTGAAAAACACTCATCAATCATCACAAAAACATATAAAATTATAGATATAAAAGTCAAATAGAGAGCATCAATAAATCCCTGCAGAGAATATTTAAAAATGAAAAAAAAAAAAAATAATAATAATAATATATATGTATATAGTAAAACACCAAATTTAACTTTTTTTTAAAATTATATTTAATTTTATACATTTTATTGTTTTTAATATCCCAGTTGTGAAACCGTAAGAAAGCAAAATACAGGATTTAATTCCATATCTGACCACAAGAGGACGTGGAGAACTGAATTACTCCAAAACTTACAAACAATCAAGCTAGCAAAGTATCTTAATAAAAAATAAATTTTAAAAACACTCCCGACAACCTTAAAGAAATCTTCTCAGGGTAATTCAGCGATACGTTTATGAATTAATGAGTTTGGTTTCATAACAGCACATTCAACATTCCTGTCGGCCGCATGATCCGACGCTGATCCGGCTAATCTGAGCTAGGCAGATTTCAGCATCTCGTGTGACCAAAGCCTGTTCAAACACTTAAACCCCTTTGTGTTAGTCAGCGGGAGATCCGGACTGGAATCAGACCTCTTGCTGGGACAGGGAACACACACACACACACTAACCCGACCCCTAAACCTACCCATCACTCATACACACACTCTATTGTGTTTTTTAAAGGGATAGTTCACTTTAAAACCAATTTTAATATGTTTTATCTTTCCTCAAGGGCATCCAAGATGTAGGTGTCTTTGTTTCCACAGTATTTTCAATTTTAATATTTTTAGGTCAAACCGTTCTTGTCTGTCAGTCATATAATGGAGGTCTATGGTCACCACCTCAAAGAGCATGCACAGAGAAGTCCAAATTAAACATGATTTAATGACTCGTAAATGTAAGTACACATTAACGGCCTAAGACACGAAACGAGCGGTTTGTGTGAGAAAACCAACAATATTTATATCGTTTTTACCTCTTGTAATCACAGCCACGTCCAACTGATCTGAGACCGGGCGCTTGAAATCTTCTAATAAATCAAGTTCATATTGAAATACCAGTGTAATACTCATGTCATTATACACAATTCTGTCCTCATAAATCACAAAAACAAACAAACACACTCTCTCTCTCTCTCTCTCTCACACACACACACACAATGGAAAGAGGGCGAGTTATGCTGCCTGGGGCCACATTGTTCATACAACATCTGCAGAGCACATTCACATTCACACACACACTTAAAACAAAGGTCATACACAAGCAATCACTCATAACGATAATCATAATCAGGTTCAGATGGGCGTGTGTTATCCTGTGACCCATACAATTGTTCCTAATGCCTTGAAGAGAGGAAACCACTGAAACCGAACGAGGGGTCACGACCTCCAGCTAAGAGGAAACATGCGTACTGTAAAGGAGGAAACGCACGTCACGTCCAGGAAAACACCTGACCGAAGAGCACAACGCAGAGGAAGAGCACGTACCTCGCGAACCTCTCCCTGACCCGGTGCATCACGACTCCTAAATCACACAATGGGCCTCGAAAACACCTCAGTGAACATCAAAATACACCCCAAAACCCCTCAAACACACCCCGATGATTTTATAAAACACCCACTGATCTTCAAAAACACCCACTAAAACTCAAAACACTCGCATAAATTAAGTAATCAAGTACTTAATGACCCTCAAAACACCCCAAAACCCTCAAACACACCCCGGTGATCTTATAAAACACCCACTGATCTTCAAAAATACCCACTAAAACTCAAAACACTCACATAAATTAAGTAATTAAGTTCTTAATGACCCTCAAAACACCCCAAAACCCCTCAAACACACCCCGATGATCTTATAAAACACCCACTGATCTCCAAAAACACCCACTAAAACTCAAAACACTCGCATAAATTAAGTAATCAAGTACTTAATGACCCTCAAAACACCCCAAAACCCTCAAACACACCCCGGTGATCTTATAAAACACCCACTGATCTTCAAAAACACCCACTAAAACTCAAAACACTCGCATAAATTAAGTAATTAAGTTCTTAATGACCCTCAAAACACCCCAAAAACCCTCAAACACACCCCGATGATCTTATAAAACACCCACTGATCTTCAAAAACACCCACTAAAACTCAAAACACTCGCATAAATTAAGTAATTAAGTTCTTAATGACCCTCAAAACACCCCAAAACCCCTCAAACACACCCCGATGATTTTATAAAACACCCACTGATCTTCAAAAACACCCACTAAAACTCAAAACACTCACAAAAATTAAGTAATCAAGTGCTTAATGACCCTCAAAACACCCCAAACCCCCTCAAACACACCCCGGTGATCTTATAAAACACCCACTGATCTTCAAAAACACCCACTAAAACTCAAAACACTCGCATAAATTAAGTAATCAAGTTCTTAATGACCCTCAAAACACCCCAAAACCCCTCAAACACACCCCGATGATTTTATAAAACACCCACTGATCTTCAAAAACACCCACTAAAACTCAAAACACTCACATAAATTAAGTAATCAAGTACTTAATGACCCTCAAAACACCCCAAAACCCCTCAAACACACCCCGATGATTTTATAAAACACCCACTGATCTTCAAAAAACACCCACTAAAACTCAAAACACTCACATAAATTAAGTAATTAAGTTCTTAATGACCCTCAAAACACCCCAAAACCCCTCAAACACACCCCGATGATTTTATAAAACACCCACTGATCTTCAAAAAACACCCACTAAAACTCAAAACACTCACATAAATTAAGTAATCAAGTACTTAATGACCCTCAAAACACCCCAAAACCCCTCAAACACACCCCGATGATCTTATAAAACACCCATTGATCTTCAAAAACACCCACTAAAACTCAAAACACTCACAAAAATTAAGTAATCAACCCTCAAAACACCCCAATGATCACTTTACACAACCAGTGGCCTACAAAAAAACACAGATTACTCCCTAAATACACAACAACCCTCAAAACACCCCTATGATCTCATAAAACACCCATCGATCTTCAAAAACACCCACTAAAACTCAAAACACTCGCATAAATTAAGTAATTAAGTTCTTAATGACCCTCAAAACACCCCAAAAACACCCCGATGATCTTATAAAACACCCACTGATCTTCAAAAACACCCACTAAAACTCAAAACACTCACATAAATTAAGTAATCAAGTACTTAATGACCCTCAAAACACCCCAATGATCACTTTACACAACCAGTGGCCCTCAAAACACACAGATTACTCCCTAAATACACAACAACCCTCAAAACACCCCTATGATCTCATAAAACACCCATTGATCTTCAAGACGCCCATACAAACTCAATGATCCCCTAAAACCCAGTGACCCAGTGGCCCTCAAAAACACCCATAAACTCTTAAACACTGCCTAAAAAAACACACCAATGATCCCCAAAAATGCAATGAAACACTTTGATAACTACCTAGATACTAGGCTGTACACTAGGCTACTCAGAACACAAATGGACACCCCGAACACCCTAAATACCCACTAACCTTCGATAATAACCAGAACACAATTGAGGAAGACACTTTTGATCACCCCAACAACCAGAAAACCAGCACAATGAAACCTTAAAATACCCCAAAAACATCATACATGCACTCAAATACACCCACAGACATCAACCTGACCCTCAACAACACCCCAATCTCAGAACTCTTAAACACCCTAAATATCCACTGACCTTCAAAAATACCCAGTAAACCAACTAAGACACCCTGCAAAACACCCCGAGGATGGCATTGACCCTAAAAACCTCAAAAACACTGATCTTCAAATACAACTTACCCTCCACACGACCCTAAACACCCACTTATCCCCAAAAATAACACAGAACTGACCATCCACATAAAAAAGAGCACTTAAAATACTTAGAAAGACTAAATAAACAACAAGGTCCTACACACAGACATCAATCTGACCCTCGAAAACACCCCAATCTCACATCAGGCTATTTAGAAATCAGAAGACACCCCATAAAAACACATATTACACAAAAACCATTGAAAATACACCCTAAAATTCCCACAAACCCCCAAAAATAACCACTGACTCTCAAAAACACCCCCTTACAGACTTACACACACACCCTAAAATAACCCTCCACTTACCTCACCAATGACCCAGTCACCCCTGTATGAGCATAAGAGATGTTGATTTGGTTAGCACAATCATTTATGAGACAGCCCAGATCGATCTGTGAGGGTTTCACCCTGTAGCTTTATTCAGATGTTTTACAAAAGCCTGTAGAAAAGAGTTCAGTCAGACTCGGACACGTCTCACAGCACATGAACCATAGCAGCTGACCATGACATACATCAGATCAAATCATGCAATGCACATAAGGTCAAAGGTCACAGCGATATATGTCGTGTCGTTGACCGTAATTAGTCTGATTCAGCAAACTAACTAATAAAGCCAAATTAAATAATATGAATATAAACTCTGGAGTCAGATATTCAATCATCGATCTGAACTCTGATATATAAATGTGATCACAGTATCATTTCTCAGAAACGCAAACAAAAACAATTTAAAAAAAGGAAAGTTTGAGGTTTTAAACGTTGTAATAACGTTCGGTCGGTTCGACCAGCTGGTCTTGGGGAGGTTTTGGCTGGTTAGGCTGGGAGACCCGCTTAAACCAGCTAGAACCAGCAGAACGTCTGGTTTAGGCATTGGCTTTTCATCGGCGAAGTGAAGGATATTTTTAAAAATGTGCTTTTTCATGAAGTATGCAAATGCAAACACTTCTAATTGCAGTTTCACGTATTGTTTTGCTACGAAATGCGTCGGAAAACAATTTACAAAACAATGCAAGTATGTGCTGCGTTCTCAGTTTCGCCACTGGGGGCGCTAGCAGATATTAGCGCAATCGGTCTTCTTCTACAGTCAGCTCAGCGATGATCAAGACGCCGCAACAGTTACCAGTCTTGCTAAGCATGTTAGTTAAAGCTAGTTAAACTGCTGAAACGTTTATATTTAGCTAGGAGCTAAATAAAAAATCTAGTTTGATAACGTGAGTATTGCGTTTTTGACCTTCTAGCCTTGCAAACATAGCAAAAGGGAAAAGGACGTACAGGTAAAACTCGTTACAAGCCTGCGAACTGACCCAAAATGGATGGAGCAGAATGGGTTTTGATAGTAGCGTTTAACGTAATTTGGCGGAAAAGCTTTTGTCGTGTTGCGCGACAATTTTTCACAAGAGTTTTTCCATATCCCCCCCCCCCCCCCAAAAATGTCCTTAAACGATTCGAAAAATCATTGTGTCGTCAAAGATATTTTCGTTTCCATTGTGAATTCACTTCATAAAACAATGCAAGTAGCCTACGCGCTGCATTCTCAGTTTCGCCACTGGGGGCGCTAGCAGAGGTTAGCGCAATCGGTCTTCCACAGTCAGCTCAACTACAGTCAAGACGCCGCAACAGTCTTGCGAAGCAGTTTACTTAAAGCTAGGTTAGTTAAACATCTTGTTTAATAGCGTTAGCATGTCACATTTTTTTGGCTTTCAAGATTTGCGAACATAGCAAAAGGACAAAGGACGTACTAGTAAAACTCAACGTAACAAGCCTGCGAACCGAACCAAAATAGATGGAGCAAA